GTCGCCGTTAGACAACCTGAGTCGGCGATAGACCCAAATAAGGGGTACACATATATCGCCTCAATATCTGGCTGAGGTAGTTGTGCCAACTATACCACATTCTTCTGTTTAGTGTATATCCTCCGGAGTCATTGATTCAATCGAAATTCTGAAATACCACAATAATGTCTCCTGCTCTGTGCGCTCCCGTTGCCGTGGCCAGTCACCCGGCCTCGCTTGATCGTGTCCAGAACTATACCGTATCCCGCAAACCCAACACAAACTACACCCTCGACAACCTGGTAGAAGATATCAAGCAGTACCTGGGGAGCTCCGGTATCGACGACGACCATGTCGACCCGGCGGTCCTCATGGGCTTCATGTCCAAGTACACATCCAGCAGTGCCGACTGGGCACGATACATGCGCAATGACCCTAGCAAGAATTATACCCGGAACCTGGTGGCCGATATCAGCGGGCGTGCGAATCTGGTATGTGATCGCTGCATCTCTCTTATCTGGAGGTCGGGGTTAACTCAAGTAGTTGCTGTTAGTCTGGAACCCCGAGAAGGGATCACTCATCCATGACCACGCCAGCGCGCACTGTATTATGAAGATCCTCGATGGGGAACTGAACGAATCGGTCTATCACACTCCCACAGCGGAGGACCAGGACGCTCCCCTGAAGATGAAGAAGAATACGACGTATCAGCCTAATGAGGTGGCCTATATCAGTGATCAGATTGGGCTGCACCGCGTTGTTAACCCGTCCAAAGATCGGTTGGCTGTTTCGTTGCATTGTATGTTCACAGATCATGCCACTTCTGACGAGTAGGGACTAACTAACGACACTTAGTGTATACGCCTCCGAATGCAGCGGACTTTGGATACAATATCTACGATCCAAAGACCGGAAAATCCAGTCATGTCTTCCAGGCGTAGAGACGCGCGAATGATTTTTTTTGCGCAGAATGATACCAATCCCGTCCAGGTGTTTTTTTGTATTATATGATACCATATTAGCGGCTGTCCAGATTGCATTATTTCGATGCCTGTTTGTTGAAAATTTTGCGCTTCATCGTGCTTTACCAGCTTGGGTTATAGTAGTGCCTACACTATGAATTCATTGAGAGCATTATATTGAATTCTCCATTGCGGTTATAGATGGTAAACGACCTAACCTATCTATTCCCAGTGAGGCGACTGGTCCTCTGACGGACAGTAACACTTTGCTTATTTCGCCCGGCAAGAAGCGGGGTGCTTGTGCTTTCGGTGTCCATGTCCGTGAGATCCTTTGCTGCCGGACGAAGCGGTAGGTGCTGGGGCCGGGGTTTCAGCTTCAACAGCTGGCTCCGTATCCATAGTTGCGGGCACGGCTGCATCCTGAGCAGCGGGTTCGCTGACATAATTGGTATCCGTGTCAACGGTGGAGTCAGAAGAAGCCGAAGAAGCACTAGAAGGAACGGCAGCTGGTTCAGAGGAAGCTCCTGCGTCAGGGGTAGCAGTGGCAGAAGCAGAAGAGGAATCCTCCGCTTGAGGAGTAACAACATCAGAAGCGGACGTGGCAGAAGATGCAGAGGATGCCGCAGAAGACGAAGTGGACGAAGAGGATGCCCCGCCAAGCGAGATACAAGCAAAGCTTATCTTCTTGGTGGTGGATGACGAGAAGCCGACAGGCTGGGACAGATCCCAGGTCATGCTGACATAGGGCCAGCAGACACGACCGTCGGCCATGGTCACCATGTCACCCGCCACGTAGGTATCGGTGCTGGTGAGAGCCTCGCCAACCTTCTTTCCACTCGAGTCGACCTGCTGGAAGAATGAGCCCGCAAATTGTCCACGGCAGCCCATGGCGATGTAGTCACAGGTAGGATTCGAGATCTCCTCCCAGGTGATCAGCGCCGAGTCAGCGCCAAAGGTAGCCGCGTGCGCGTTGGAGCAGTCGTTCGAGCCGTTGGTGATCCAGGTGACCTGGCTGTCGCCATCCTCGGCACCCACCTGGGACGTAGCCTGAGCACCGACCTTGGTGTACTTGTCGGTAAAAAGGGCGATGGCGACGTTGCGGCCGTTCGTCCGGTTATTCACGTGGGTGTATCCGGCGCCCATCCAGCTGTTCTCCGTCACGTCCATAGCGCCCCGGGACACCCAGGCGAAGATGTAGCGGGCGGAGTCGGCGAACCGGGCCAGAGCACTGTAGCTGCCGGACATACCGCCCATGGGCTCACCCGAGCCTCCGTTGGTGGTGTTCTCATTGGAGATCTTGACCCCGGCGTTGGACATTCCCTGTGTCTTGGTGTTGAGCCAGATGGCGCCCTGGTCCTCGGAGCAGATGCTGGCAAAGGGTGGTTCGTCCGCGGCCTCGAACGCAATGCCGGTGTTGTGACTGCAGCCCCAGGAGCTGCTGGCGCCGGGGATCGTGACGAGGGTTCCGTTGTCCGACACGTACTGGATGCTGTCCCCGAAGTGGCCCTGTGCCCAGCCGGCGTAGTCGGTGACGACGAAATAGGCGCCGTACATCTTTGCGCTTTCGGAGTAGGCCAGGTCGCCATTGAGGTCGGGAGAGGCTGATAGACCGTCGGCCTCGTGCACTCCGGGGCCACCCAGCCAGGTCTTCCATGTCTGCTTGCCGTTGGTGTAGCGGTAGAGGACTGGAACTGGGGTGTTGGACGGGGGCGCATTGCTCGTTCCGGAAGGCATGGCTTCGTTGGTCAACAAGGCAAAGCCATCATTATGAGCAATTAGTCCACCAGCTAGACACTGTCAATATGCAACCATACCAATAATAATCGCAACACATACCTTCCTTCCCACCGGCCACAGTAACCGTGGTTCCTGTAGCCTGAAAGGTAGAGGGATCCAGCTGCTGGACATGCACGTCAGTCTCACTGGAATCCAGATAGGCGAGATAGGCCGTCTTTCCATCGGGCGAGACGGCAAAAGGAGTGCGACGGTGGTGGGGGTAGTTAGTCCAGTAGGCAGCCTTGACGGGGTTGAAGTTGAAGTTGAGTGCCAGCACATCAACATGCTTTTCAAGGTTGGACGCAGTCAAACCGGCCGCAACGTCCAGCGCCGCAGAAAGCAAAGAAAGAACGAAAAACCGACGCATGGTTGCTTGGTTGGTATTTGCTTGTTGACTGTCCACTTTCGGAGAGGATTGGTGGGAAGTTGACACGGATATATAACCCCTGGAACAAGCTCGATCTCGCCATATTGATTAAGGGGATGATCCTGACGTCTCGAGTTTAGCCCTAAAAGTCTGGACCTAAAAAGGTTCCATAACAGGAGCTTAATTGCTTCGTCCTAGGCACTATTGAAGAGGATCGGAAATGTGCCGAACTCGGTGCGGTTCATGTTTCACTTCAGCCAAGACGACCCTTAATAGTTACCTGATTCGTCCATCGTCTATGGATGTCTCAGTTAATAATCTACGTGAGGTAAACATGGGGTAAAAATGTTCACACGTCGAGTCATGCTGAGACAGACTCAGGAAATACAGGCGACCATTCCTTTTATGAATACGATGCCTCTTCCCACTGACACTATATATCACTACATATCAGACCTCAAGTACGGAGCGTATTGGAGTAGTGCAAACCAAGAGTTTTACTTTGATCACTGTAAGTATATATTTACCCAGTTGTTTTCGTCGCCTCTGTCTCCTGTAGTATCCCAAGCCTCATTGGCAGCCAGGTCCTCAGGCAGAAACTCCAACTGTTATGGGGTCAGTTATGTTGTTATTCTCTCACAGCAAATCCATCTCCTCCAAGCACTGAATTCATCTATTAAAGCGTATATTTACTACTTCCAGGATCTTCCACATATTGTAATAGCAAGCTGATTGTCACATTCTCGATTTTGTCTTCCTTTCTCCCCTGCGAAACGGGGATAGCCATGTTCTTCCAGTTCCACTCTTAGTCGCCGCCGCATTCGGTATCCTCAACCCCAGGAATTGGCAGATAAAAATTGAGTCCCAGAGAAGAGAAGGCATTGTTGAGATCCAGAACCGAACGTAGATCAAGCAGACGCCCAGTCAACAATTGCTGATATCCTTCGATTCGAAACCATGATGTTACCGGTCCCAGGTCGGGATAATAAAGGTAGAACTGCTCTACTACATCTGGATTTGGATACAAATCTGCACGGAGAAGGTACCTCTTGCATTCAAAGACTGTCAGAGGTTCCAATAAATCCTTGCTCGAATGAGCAAGATAAGCCTTTACAACCGGACCACGGTGTACATTATAGACAAGTGGCGATGTTACAGAGGCCCGAATATCACAAAGATGGACAACTCTTAACTCGCAAGCTCTTTTCCCCATTCGTTAGAACCTGCTGTTAACAACAGGCGCCTTAGCAGATATTCCAAGCCTTCTCTTGTCTCGGAGTGCCACTTCCAGTAGTTTGTGCCTGAATACATAGCAAGAGCATAAAAACCTGCGAAAGGTTACAGGCTGCAGAGCAACGATATTAACATGTTAGGAGGCTGATTATGAATAATTTGCCCAGGTTGTCCATACAAAATGAACCGTATGGGCGATACACATTGGCCACTAACGTAGAAGGTTTATTGCATAGCAAGGCTGTGGTAGGGGCTACCCATTATTATCCTAGAAGGCTCCTTGAGTACAAGCATAAACAAGGTAGGCTTTGGTAACTATTATAACACTATCTTTAATCTTACGCCACCTCAGCCCCGCTACTTAGAGACTATCTTGCCAGAATTCCAATAAGCATGGACCCCGTTTGGCAGGGATTGAAGGTGGCTACGACCATCACATGGTCGCAGTTCTTCTTCCTAGCCAATGGCTTCTGGCGTGCCATGATATCCCTGCTAGGTATTAACTACAAATAGATAGAGAACGGTTTACATTATCTCACTTCATGACTCGAAGAAACTGTGCAGCCTACGATTATAGGCACTAATGAGACAGATATATATGCTCATTGATCACCTCCTAGAAGGGAAACGAATTCAGATTCAATTCTTGACTGAAATATTTCTGTTCTGTTACCCATCCTATAATGGCATTTCAAACAATCACCATCACTTATACCGACGGCAAATATCTCTCCCTAGTAGACGCAGCCTCGCGTACCCCACTCTACCATGTCAAGGTTTGCCGTCAAGTGCCGCAGATGGAAATGATTCGTCTGAGTCCTGCCCCAAGCGACGACACCAACCAAGCGTTTCCCCAGGATGAGAACGCCTACTTTCAACGCCGGGTCTACACGGCAAAGTTCAAGATGACAAGCCTCAACGTCCAACTTCAGATCCGCGAGCACCGGGATGTCTTGCTCAGCAGGAAAAGCATCCTTTCCACGAGTTACTCATTCACGTCTCCAGCAATGTCTGCCACAAATACCATGAGCTCCTCGTCGTGGCCGGTCCTCACATGGGAACCGGACCAGACGGGGAACATGGGTGACTTTCGACTCGTCAACGAGGCAGAGAACGCGTCAGATAGAAGGGTAATGGTTCGTTTCCGGAACAAAGCGTTTTCCAATGAGCAAGTGGGCACATTTGAAGTAGACGCTGGAGTCGATCAACTGGTCAAAGACGAAGCCGTGATTTCCGGGCTGGCCATGCTGTCAATGGTGCAGAGCATCAATCTTGCCGGTATGGTCATGCTCGGTGGAAGTTGAGCTGTTCGTTTACGTGGTATCGGAGATGGCCGTGAAACCAATCGGAAAACGAGATATTGTTGGGCATAAGAAAATTGGCGTCTATCGCTTTTGCTTCTTTTTTTCCTGCATCAAGTGGGGTAATATCTCCACTGTAACCGGTAATCAACAAATGATATTGACTGGTCTATCGTATCCAGTACTTAAATCAATTGTGCTAGAGTATTATAGGATTAGTGATACACTAAAAGAAAAAACCGTTAAGATTAGGTCTTTGAGTCAGACTCTCGCGTGCCAGGCGATTTACATGTCGACAAACACGACGACCTGGGCCCTGTCGACGTAGATCTGTCCAGCATAAGAGTCAAGGTGAAGGTCAATATGGAGATGATGGAGATGATGGACTCTACGGCAATGCCGCGCCGTAGCAAGCTCAAGGTCTTCGCCATCATGGTGGCCCTTTCGGTGGGGATGACCATCATTGAATATGACTTGATCTCAAACTAATGTAAATCCAGCTCTCGATGTTTGTCGCTGCTCTCGACCAGACGATCATGGCCACGGCGATCCCAACAATTGCTGCTAAGCTGCACTCGGCCGCGGGATATACCTGGATTGGCGGTGCTTACCTTCTGGCCAACGCCGCTGGTGCTTGCATCTGGGCCAAGCTCTCGGATATCTGGGGACGCAAGCCCATCTTGCTCTTGGCCGTGGCTTGGTTCTTTGGTAGTTCGATCATTTGTGCTACAGCGGTGGATATGCCCATGTTAATCGCAGGACGGGCACTGCAAGGTGTTGCTGGAGGTGGCCTGCTTCAATTGGTCACTATTGTGATTTCGGATTTGTTCAGTGTCAGGTATGTGCACCCATTTTCAGCCATGGACCTATTTCTGACTCGGCAGACACCGGAGTCTCTACCTCGGGTTGATGGAGTTCATGTGGGCGCTGGCCGGAGGAATCGGTCCCCTTCTTGGTGGTGCGTTTTCCCAATATGTCTCCTGGAGATGGAGTTATTGGGTGAATCTTCCTGTCTGCGGCCTTGCCTTTGTGCTGCTCTTACTATTTCTCGACGTGCACAATCCTAAGACGAAGATGATGGATGGAGTCAGGGCTATTGATTGGTTTGGGAGTCTCTCGATCCTCGGCCTGACGCTGATGCTCCTCCTCGGCTTGGACTTTGGTGGTGAAACCTTCCCATGGGATTCGCCCAAGGTCATTTGTCTGATTGTTTTCGGATCACTCTGTTCGTTGCTGTTCATCTACAGCGAGAAGCGGTTGGCAAAGTACCCACTGATGCCAATGGGTCTCTTCGGCCAGCCCTCCAACGTTGCAACACTGGCAGTCGCATTCGCCCATGGCTTCGTATGTATTGCCACCTGTTGTGTGGAGCCGAGCTTACGAGACTAGGTTTTCATCGCTGGCGAATACTACGTCCCGCTATACCTGCAATCCGTCAAGGAAGCCTCGCCCATGCGCTCTGGTGTCCTCGTCCTGCCCCTGGTTCTCTCCGAAGCTTTCGCTGGCATCATCACCGGAGCCATCATCCACCGCACCGGCCGCTATCGCGAACTGATCTGGCTGGGAATGACATTATTGACCATCGGCAATGGACTCTACATCCATTTGGATGCATACTCATCCTTGGGGCAAATAGTCGGATACCAAATCCTCAGCGGCATCGGCGCAGGATTCCTCTTTGAGCCTCCCATCATCGCGATCCAGGCGATGGTCTCCCAGGACGAAACCGCCACTGCAACAGCTACCGTCGGCTTCATCCGTAACCTGGCAACATCGGCGTCCATCGTCATCGGCGGCGTGGTGTTTCAGAACTCGATGAGCCGGATGAGACCCACCTTGCTTGCTGCCGGGATGTCAGAAACATTAACGGAACAGATGTCTGGAGACTCCGCAGCTGCGAATATTGAAATCATCAAGACCATCCAGGATGCAACTCAGCTGCTTGCTGTCAAGGAGGCATTTGCTAGGAGTTTGAGGAACATGTGGATCTTGTATACGTGCATGTCTGCTCTAGGGATTGTTGCGGGTGTGTTTATTCTCAAGACCCGGCTGAACAAGGAGCATGTGGAAACGAGGACGGGGCTGAGATCGGAGAAATCGGAAGCTGCAACTGTGCTTGAAAGACCTGCGGATGAATGTTGAGAGAACAGTCCAGTCCACGACAGGACAATCTCATCTGCGTTGGGAATACACCCTCATATTACTGGCGCGACTGAGAAATCATTTGCATATAACCAACTAGATAAAGGCAAAGTAGCAGTTCCCCAAGACCCACTGTTACAATGTATACTTGAAAAGAGGCGACTTGTTACCCATAGCCAGCAATTGATCGTCGGTATACCGGTCTCTAATCTCTGCCTCAGATATCCTCGCCTTCTTCCTGTTTCCATAGATATACGACAGCTCCAGCAGAAGCGCCACGAGGAGCCCTGATCCACCAAATGCCAATGACAGGCCGAAACCCGTGTAGTACTCGGGGCTCTCACTGTCGATATACATGTAGCTCCCGATAATACCGCCGATATTCCCGATGCAGATGTTGAACGCCAGACCAATGGCTCTGCTGCTGGAGGAGGCGAGGTTGTTGGCAGTCCAGGACGTGGTCGCCGGGTGGATGGGGTAGATACCCATGCAGGTGAGGATGACTGCGAAGAAGGCAGGGCCGATGTTCTCTTTTAGCTGGCCGTGGAAGGAGATGATAATTGAGTAGGCGACAGTCACGAGGGTCAGAGGGATGGCGACGAAGGGCATGCGCCAGTAGAACCGGTCGGAGAGTTTGGAGAAGAAGACGGCGGAGAGAGCGCCTGCGACGTATGGCGGGACGGTCATGAGTTGGGCGTGGGTGTTGGTGAAGCCCATTCCTTTGGTGATGGTGGGCATGGTGAATTTGGTTCCTGTACGAGTTAGCCGGGAGGACGGCGCAGTGAGAGTGTTTGGACTGACCGTATGAGCAGGCGGACTGGCAGAGCAAGATGTACGCCAGCATGTACATTCTCCAGTTTAGCAGCACGGCTTTGATATCGCTCCACGAGGCTCTCTTTCTCTCGTCCTTGAAGCAGCCACCATCTTTGATAAAATGCTGCAGCTCCAAGTACCGAATTTCCTCGGGATCAAGCCACCTCCCAGATCGTCTTGGCGAGTCGATCAAAAGGAAGAAGCACATCACTCCCAGAATGACAGTGACAATTCCCTCGAGCAGGAAGATCCACCGCCAGCCTTCCTGGCCTCCCACGCCGTCCATCTGCGCAATACCGGCTGCCAAGAGGCCGGAGAAAGCACCAGACAGGGCACTGGCACAGTAGAATACAGCGATACGGGTAGAAAGGTCTTTTGGCATGTACCAGATCGTGCATAGATAGACTGCTCCTGGGAAGAACCCGGCCCTGGAAAAGTCAGAACTGTATGCCTAGCCAGGAGTGTCACATACTCGAATACCCCAAGGAGAACACGAGTGACCATCAAGCCAGCAAAGTTCCGGACCATTCCAGTCAAGGTCATGATAATCCCCCAGCAGGTGATCAGGATACCAAGGTAAATAGACGGTCTGGAGAAGTTTTTCAGGAGCATATTGCTGGGAACCTCTGTCCGAGTTTAACTTTGTACTGCGATATCGACCACACGATACTCACCAAGAAGCACATATGGAATGAAGAAGATGCTCAGGACAATATTCCATTGTATACCGGTGAGTCCAAGGTCTTTGACAAGTCCTTCGATCTTCGCATTTCCAATGTTTGCGCGGTCGAGATGGGAGATCAGGTAAAGGACCGCCAGCATCGGAACTAGTCGGATATCGACCTGTACGTGTCAGTTAATGGCAGCCATAGAGTCAGGCAGCATACCTTGCGTAGAAGCTTCTTCTTCCTGTCCACGGAGAAGTTGGTATAGAACTCGGCATCCTCAGTGCTCAGCCCAAGGACCCGGATGTTGTCGATGGTAACAATGTTCGTGACAGTCTCCACATGGTCCTCGTAGTGTTTCTCGTCTGCAATGTCAAAGACCGCCATTTCTACTTCAGTAGGATTCAGGAGACTTTCTTGATACTGGCATATATAGAGATGATCCACTGGGTCAGGGGTCAACGACTATATATCCGCTTGAACCGGGTCACATCTAGCAAGCTACGGCCTGTTTCCGGACTTCTCTCCATGCCAGAAGCTCATTGCCTCATCCCCCGCATCCAAGACCTTCCCCGCTGGCTTCCTGCCAAGCGGCCAAGCATGAAGATCTGGAGTCGGACCTGGGGACGGCAGTTGCTGAATGCGGGGTTCATCCACGCGAATGGTTAATTCAGTTGGATTGCCTTTAGATGGTCTTGGCTTGCATGTATACTATCTAATGGCATGCCTCGGACGAGGTAAACTTTCCTGGCTAAGCTGTGCTCTGCTTATCCGTTTTTCCGCTAGATTTCCGCCCAATATCCGCCAGGATCCTTCCACACGGCCTGGCGGTCCTCACTTGACCAAGGCAGAAATCTACGCATGATAGTCTACGTTGCTGTTGTAATCTGATACTAAATGCATTTCATTGATGCTGTCCTTGTTATACTAGGCATGCTTTGTGCTCCATACATCCTGTCAGGTTCATCAAAGGGGCGGAAAGGAGACGTCTCTTCCCAAGGACTTGGCCACCCAATAACCTAAAGCTTCCCGGGCGATATTATTCGAGGACCAGTTACGATTGGGGTGAACGCGGTTGGCGAAAAGAAGGAAGAACGTGTTTGACGGCCTGTCGATCACCAGGGTGGTACCCGTGAAGCCGGTATGGCTGGCAGTCTGGAGACTGGCCATTGGTCCCGCAGTGTAGTACTGATTCAGCTCAAATCCTAATCCGTGCTCATATCCGGGGAATCTCGCGTTGAAATTATGAAAGATGAGATCTACGACCTCGGGCGACAATATACGACGCCCTCCGTAAGTACCGTTGTTTAGAATCATCTGACAGAGAATGGCTGTATCCTCGACCGTTGAGAAGAGGCCTGCGTGTCCGGACACGCCATCCAGAGCCCACGCATTTTTGTCGTGGACGGTCCCGCGAACTGGCTGTGGGCGCTGCGGCTCCATTGATCCCAGGACCTCGATCTGGTATTCTTCGGCTGCCGTGCGGGAGTAGAAGGGGAAAGCTGGGCCTTCGATGTTGCCCCGGTTGAAGAATGTGTCATGCATGCCGAGGGGATTGGTGTACTCTCGAATCAATTCATCCAGTTTCTTGTGGGTGATGTGCTCCAGAAGTAGACCCAGAGACATGAAGTTGAGGTCTGAATAGAGGTAGGTGGAGCCGGGAGCATTGCGCAGAGACTGATTCAGTATTGCTGCAGTCCTCGCTTTGACTGTTTTATAGACTGGATTATACAATGGAGGCTCTGGATCTGGAGCAAAGCCAGAAGTATGCGTCAGAAGCATCAAGACGGTGATGTTCTCTTTCCCATTAGCTGCGAATGATGGCATGTAGGACGCGACTGTTTTGTCCAAGGAAAGTCGACCAGTATCCGTCTCTCGAAGGGCTGCAACGGTGGTAAATAGTTTGGTCAGACTGGCCATATCATAGATGGTGTCTGTTCGTGCAGAGAGTTGCTGCGATGGAGGCAATTCGGTGCCATTAGCGTCGGCATACAGCAACATCTTTCCGCTGGCGAAAAGTGAGACAATGGTGCGATCATGACCCACGATCACTGCAGAGGATGGCTCAATTGGATGTATCTCATTGTGTGAAAATCCTCCATAGTTGGCTGGTTGTTGATAACCGGTGATGTTGGTTACCAGTTGACGGAGGGGGGCGGACAGAAGGCCTATGGACTCGGGAGTGCCAAAACGGAGGGTATCCTGTCCGGGTTGATGATGGATTGCATGGCTGGGGAGAGTGCCAAAGATGGCCAGGATAAGAGAGCAGGATAGACGCATGGTGAAGACTTGTTGTTGATACGGAGACTGAACTGCATGAGGTGCAGTTATATATACTTCGTCTTCGTCTCATTCTGGCCGCATCTACTTTGATCGTCTTTGAATCATCCCCAATTGACTATAGCCAAAGTCAATATAGACAAGCGAATGTAACATGAATGTAACATTGTATTCTCCTTCGTGTTGTCGTCTGTTGACAGCACGCTTATCAATCTCACTAGTACCAGTGATACTGGAGAAACTGTCAAGCCCAATGGGATCATGGATGGTCTGATAGTTCAATTGCAGGGATAGATCATATCAGCTCATCCATCAACACATCATCCAATCTCATCCACACGCAATAAAAGACGCAAACAAAATGTATGTACTCTTCAATAATCATCCATCTTTCGATAAAATAGAAAATGCCCCGGTCGCAGGTCGTTCATGCGGGTCGAAAGCCCCTACAAGACCAACGAGTGCCACTGAGATCACCCCACATCTCTGGCCCTCTGGCCTTCTGCAATCCAACACGGGCGCATTTTCCATTGTCCACGCATCCACAGCTTGACCAAGAAACCGTCCCAAAAGCACGCATCGGAAGACTCTGGCGCTCTAGGGATAATCGTAAAGGACGACATGCGCTCACCATCCACCAGCGACCGCCAGGAGTCGCAGGCAAGACGTACCCCCGGAAAACAATCCACCCGATTGCCATCGTCAAAGGGATTCTTCGCATGTTCACGACATTCCCCTACTGGGACATATCCTTCTGGGTGGCTTTTGTCTTTACGGTCGGATCGGTGATCTGGGTCATCAACGCCTTTTTCGTCTGGCTGCCGCTGGAAGACCCGTCCACCGAATTTCCGAATGAGGTCCTTACAGGCGGAGGCGTCACGGCCTTTATCGGCGCGACCGTCTTCGAAATCGGCAGTATTCTGCTAGTTCTGGAAGCAGTCAACGAGAACCAGACGGGCTGCTTCGGCTGGGCAGTCGAGACGGCCTCCAAGGAAGCCGCCGATGAAGCCGAACAGGCCGTCGTGCGAATCAAGTCCGACATGGACTTGTGTCTGCATCATCATGCGAACCGCCGTTCGTTCCTGTCTCCGTCCGAGGCAAGACAGGACTCGAACAGACAGACGGCAATTGCTCGAAAGCGGTCGTTTGAATGGCTTCCCACGGTGAACGAACTCCGTACCCATTATCTCCATGAGATTGGATTCTGGGCTTCGTTCGTCCAGCTCATCGGAGCTACCATCTTCTGGATAGCAGGCTTTACCGGTCTTCCTGGCATCATGAATCATATGAGCCAAGCAGTCACCAACGGCGTCTTCTGGGTTTCGCAGATCGTTGGCGGTTCGTGCTTTATCCTCAGCGGGCTGTTTTTCGCGATAGAAACGCAGCCGAAATGGTATATCCCCGCTATCCACCTTCTCGGCTGGCATATCGGATTCTGGAATTTCATCGGGGGGATTGGATTTACTCTGTGTGGAGCGCTGGGGCCAGCAACGGCTAACTCGGGGGTCGAGTATCAGAGCACGCTGGCGACGTTCTGGGGTTCCTGGGCGTTTCTGGTGGGGTCAGTGATACAGTGGTATGAGAGCTTGGATAAGCATCCTGTGGAGGAGAAACACTAAATAGGTCTTTGTCTATTGTAGTTGCTCATGTGTCATATACCACATATAGCCTAGTATAACATTCCACTGCAGTCACCCCAATCTCATCCTCAACAACACCCCCGCATCCCCAATAAGCTTCACACTCTGCAAGACACTCGGCGACACCCCATGCCCGGGGATATGCATCCACTGCGTCAGCAGCTTCGCCAGATGGGGCCCCATCTCCGCCACCTGCGGCGACAAGCAGCCCCGTAGCGCCGTTAGCCTTGACGCCGCCAGCGTAATCAGCATCACGCTCGCCATCCTACACCGTCATTAGCATGATCCAGCATGATCAAAGGCCAAGGTCATGGCATGTATACATACGACAACGAGCAGATCCACGTATCCACCAGCACCGTATGCGGATAACTCCCCAAATTCTGCGCATGCAGCCAGCACGCCTCGAGACAGATCTTGCACCCTTCAAAGAGCTGCGGCGGGAAATGCTCCACCGTCGCGGTGGCGGTCATAGACAGCGCCCAGGTGAGGTAGGGCCGGTAGATGACGCTCTTGCAGGTGAGGTAGCGCTGGCGGAGGAATGCGGCGGCGGTGCATGGCAGGGGACGGAGGTCAACGGTGAACTGAAACGGAGGGGGGAGGAGGTCCTTCCATTCCTCGAGCTGGTGGGCGAGTTCGGCGACGACGGAGGGGAACTGGTGGTTGTCGAAGGCGACGCCGGTGTCACGCGCGTAGAGGAGATTGTGGACGCGGTTGAGGAGCCGGCGCATGGAGATGCAGGCGAGGAAGTAGAGGGAGGATTGCTCTTCGTCGGTTTGGGAGAGGTGCGTTTGGTATTCGCCGGGGAGGGGGATGGAGGACTCGATGTCGGCGATGCCGGTTTGGGGGAGGGCGGAGAGTTCGGCGAGGTAGTCACTGTTGGTCAGTTTGAGAATCAACGCAAGGGAGATGCCTACCTTTCTAGGATGTAGCAGGACCAGAAGATCCGACGGAGACACTCTTGCTCGGCCGGGTTGGCGTCGGGGTTATGGTATGCTAAGAGGAGACGGCATTTGGCGGCAGTGGCGTGGATGAACGACCACGCTTGTAGAGGACGTTGAAGGAATGCGAAGAAGATACTGGAAAGGTCAGAAGGTATCAACGCCTGGGTGGAAGAAATATACGCTGTAAAGAATAACGACTGCACTGCATCAACGGTGCACTCAGCCTGCGCCAGATAGATCTTTTTGAACGCACAATCGAAATAGATCTCTCCCATTGCTCGCCGATGGCTGCGCAGCTCCAGCTCTTCCGAGTTTGGATCTTCATGTGCCGCATACGAGCAGATTAGTTCACTCGCGCAGCCCAGCGCCATGACCAACAGAGCCAGACAGGATTTGACACCGTCGCCAAATACGCCTGCGGCGATGTGCACCTGGACCTCGGCCGCCTGGGCTACTGACATGGTTGGATACCAAAAGTTGACGTTGCGCTGGAAACTATGCACCACGCGGTCGATTTCGCTGCGGCTGGCGTAGGGGTGCACCGTTGTTGGACGGGGCGCCAGTGGCGCACGACTGGACTCCAGGTGAAAGACGGAGAAACTGTGATCTTCCCGCAGGGACTGAAAGTCGTTGAAGTGCGGCCAGGCGAGGATGGACTCGGTGGTGGAGGCATGAAAGGCCGACAGGGTGGCATTGGAGATGTGATCGCCAGGGCTGTCGGCACGATGGGCCCCATTGATTGTCGATGGAGAGATTATAGCCGTTGGAGATGTATGATATTGCGATGACGCCTTACCGTCCAGCATCCCTGATACCCTGGCCTAGGAGGGTCAGTGGAAGGTATGCATTCACGCCAGGAAGAGCTACCAATTGAGCGGACATATCCTGGAGTAGTCGCTCGGAGCGAACGGCCACCTCGAGAATCAAATCGCTTTTGTTCTTGCTGTAGTGGGTCAGTCAATGCGCAATCAATGCATGGGGATACTAACGGGACTGCCTCGGTTCCGTAAACACATTCCTCGCCTGTGTTGGCGCATGTTGTGCATGGCTGGCGACCATCGCATCTGCCTACTCAGTTGTACTCCTAACTAATAATCGATGCAGAGGAATCATACCTCACTTTTCTGTATCGACAGGGGTCACACTGTCTGCCGATCAGCAGGGGTCAACCGATTGAACCCAATTGGAGAGGAGGCAAACCGCGTGGGAAGTTCTCTTGCGCTTACGATAGTCGGGCGTCTCCTCTAGAGACATGATATATGATTACCTAGGTGGAAAGACAAATCATCAAGCAGAGACAATCTAGTGAGACAGAGTGCAGGAGGAATCAGCGCGATCGATTGACCCGAAATGAAGAATAAAGACGAAGATCTCTTCCCCGCATTCCTCGCATTCTGTCTTGGCCAATCACGGGCCGGAAAGGCTTCCCCAGAAAAGGCCAGATCGGAGCATTGGCAACAGAAGGTGAAAGGTGATTTATGCCGAGGTTGATTTGTAGTGTGCAAAAGTGCTATGATTCAATCATACATTCATTTATGCTCGATATCATCAGCTATTGAAATCATTAACTACTAGAATGAGAATAGACTACGCTTTGGTATCCCCCTGAACCTCCAGAGTGTTCAGGACAGAGTGGATATCCCTCTTCTGCAGACTCTTCTTGACCGGATTAGGCGCCTCAAACACTTCGGCTAGTTCCTCAAGAGTTCGTTCCTTGGTTTCAGGGAAGTAGAACCAGATGACTACCGCCTCGATCAGATCCCAGCCCACAAACACCAGGTAGAAGTAGTAGTGGATCTTGTCAAAGGCCGGGCCGGACGCGTATTGGATGATGGTGCTGCTGATACTAGACATGAGATTGCCAAAGGCAGTACCCTTGGCTCGGGTGGTTGTCGTGAGAGTCTCGGCAATGTACATGCTCTGCAACGGGGTCCAGCCGAACGAGAAGACGATACCGAACAGGTAGATGAATGCGATGGCCGTGTTGGCAGCATTGGTGTTATCAGGATTGTCTGTCGCCATCTTCGAGGTTCCAGTGATGATCGCAAAGGCCACCGAGCAGAACAGCAGTGAGTAAATCATCAAGGGACGACGGCCAATCTTGTCGGTCAACCGGGCCCCAGTGACGGCTGCTACCAGGCAAATGGCCGGGTAGATGCCGTTGAGCATCAGTTTGGTCTTTTCGTCCGTGATTCCGGCGTTGGCCACCATGTTGGGCAGATAGTACGACGTGATCGAGTTACCGGACAGCTGTCCAAAGCACGCCATACCAACGACACAGATCAGCCGCCGACGGGCAGAGTGCGTGTTGAACAGCTCCCGATACTCCCACCATTTCTTGTCCGAGCCATCGGTCATAATCTGTTGCCGCATCTCCTTGATCTGAAGCGTCACCATGGGATGGCCACGGTCGCCTTCTCCGTGGTATCTGGCCAGCACGTTGACGGCATCCTCGACGCGATCCTGTGCCATCAGCCACCGTGGTGATTCTGGCAGAAACCAGACGCCAACGGCGACAAGCACCGACGAAATAAGCTGGCACCAGATGGGGATGCGGAACCCAATATGGCTCTCGATGTTGGCGCAGCCGTATGACACCCAACTCGCCACAATCGACCCGATATACCAGGTACAGTTGTACAGACCGGTCAGAGTGCCTCTCCAGGACGGATGCGCCATTTCGCTAACATAGCAAGGCGCACTAACACAGCAGAAACTGACGCCAAAACCGAGGATGAATCGACCGGCCATGAACATGCCATGGTTGACTGAAGGCGCTTGGATGCATGTGCCGATGATGATGATGACGGCGCCGGTAAACATGCCTGCGCGACGGCCCAGATAGTCATTCACGGGACCCGAAAGGACCACCGCGGGGATAGAACCGATGTTGTAGAGGGCGAAGACGAGTCCTGTACTCGAACCGGCGGATTTCCTGGAGACGTCAGCTCGGTCTTTTGTTTCGCTTTGCACGGTTGAACTTACATATGAAAGTAGTCCAGATAGCTCTGCATCGCGTTCAAACTGCCCATGAGCGATCCATCGTAGCCATTCAGACAGCCACAGAGATACGCAATGGCCAGACAGCCGTACAGCCGGAACATGCTCGGTGTCCATGGGCTGTACTTGGCCGAAGCGGCCTGCTGGGCCAGTTCAATAGCGTCGCCGACATCTCCATCGCGCGTGGGGACCGTCTCATGGAACTGGGCGTCGGTCTTTTCGTCGACTGTCATATTGAGAGAAAGGCACCTTGAGGGAGGCACCTTGAAGGACGAGAGGATTCAAAGATAGTGAGGGAGAAACAAGAGCCTCTCTATAAGCGAATATTAAGGCCCCTGGTGCAGCGACCGCAGAGGTTATATCCTGGACGGACGTGCATGGCCCATGACCAGCAGGGCGATCTGGGGAAATACGGGGAAAATGGACCGCCTAGACTCGAGGTAATTTGTTCCAGACGGTCATTCGTGGTCCCTCGGTTCCGACATCCCCGTGCGAACCTTGCGATGGCCTCGTATGGATATATACTCCGGAGTCAGTAGGGATTGTCATTGGTAGTCTATGGGGCAATCGGAAGGACTTAGCAAACTCTTTCTTATTGCATGTGAACCACGGACCATGGCATTATCCGCACTGCTGAATTATACTCTAATCTAAGGTTAACCATCGGGGATTTCTCCTCTTCCATCCGACATCCCCGGCGTAGTGCGCCAAGCAGGAGAACCACAACCAGTCGAAAGACGGCGAGGATTTCCCCGCTCCCTAACAGCGAAACATATCTCTGCATCAGGAATATGGATCAATCATGGTCGGAACGAGGACCGAAGAGGGGCATCGTTGTGGGTTGGATGCAGGTGAATGCCCTCAAGCACGGCTTTTCTTCCAGTCCACCTGTTATTCCACGAATCCGCCTATTTAGGAAGGGAAGATGGCCTGCTTCTTGTCTGCGTTCAAGCAATTCACTTTTCTTCTTTAGATCCTGTTCCGTGGCTTAATTAGACCCGTTTGAGCAGGAATTTCCTTTTGCTACTATCCTACTCTGTCCTCGGTTTCCCTGTCTGCCATCATGACCCTGTCCGCAGTCCCCGACTACGAAAACCAGCACATATTCCAGCGCAATCGGCTCAAACCAAGAGCATATTTCCTTCCCGAGACGTCTATCTCGCTCAATGGTCGCTGGGACTTTAACTATGCAGCCTCTCCCGTGAGCGCCCCGGAGCCATCATGGTCCAAGGGCACCAAGAACGCCACGTCCGAACCCCGCCGGGATTTAAACCAATCCAGCTCTGACGGCGCAGACTCCGAGACAGCTTGGGCTCCTATCACCGTTCCTGGCCATTGGCAATTGCAAGGTTATGGCCGTCCACACTACACAAACGTCATTTACCCTTTCCCCGTCTGTCCGCCATTTGTGCCGACGGAGAATCCTACGGGCACCTATCGTCGGACCTTCCACGTGCCTGCCGAGTGGGATGCTTCGTCCCAATTGCGGCTGAGGTTTGACGGCGTTGACAGCGCGTATCATGTCTGGGTCAATGGTGTCCCGATTGGGTATTCTCAAGGGAGCCGTAACCCGGCTGAATTCGATGTGTCGCAAGTTGTTGACCGCGACGGCGCCAATGAACTGTTTGTCAGAGTGTATCAGTGGTCTGATGGCTCGTATATCGAGGACCAGGACCAATGGTGGTTGTCAGGCATTTTTCGCGATGTGACCCTGCTCGCATTCCCTGGCCAGGCGCGCATTGAAGACTTCTTCGTGCGCACCGAACTGGACAAGGATTACGTCGACGCGACATTGCGTTTGTCGTTGGATCTAGCTCTTGCAACAGCAGCCATCGCGCAAGTGACTTTGAGCGATCCTTCGACCGACAGTACGCTGCAGTCGGAGAAGTATTTCCTTCAAGCAAAGCAGGACAAGCTCGAAGCTGAGCTTTCCGTCTCCAACCCGAGGAAATGGACAGCAGAGACACCCAACCTCTACGATCTGCGCATCGCTCTCTATGTAGACGGTGCCAAGGAGCCCGTGCAGGCAATCAACCACCGTGTCGGGTTCCGTCAGGTTGAGATCAAGAATGGCAATATCACTGTGAACGGCGTGCCGGTGATGTTCCGCGGCGTCAACCGGCACGACCACCATCCACGCTTCGGCCGAGCGGTTCCTCTGTCCTTCCTGCGGGAGGACCTCTTGATCATGAAGCGGCATAACGTCAATGCTCTCCGCTGCTCGCACTACCCGTCCCATCCCCGTCTATACGAGCTCTGCGACGAGCTCGGCCTATGGGTAATGGACGAGGCAGACCTGGAGTGTCACGGTTTTTACGATGCCATCGCTCGCCCCCTGGATATCCCCGAGTCCATGGACTACGAGGAGCGCAAGAAGCTCACCTTTGACCAGGCGGCGCAGTTCACCACGGACAACCCCGAGTGGAAAGATGCATATGTAGACCGAATGGTACAGATGGTGCAGCGCGATAAGAACCATTCCTGTATCATCATCTGGTCGCTCGGCAATGAGGCATTTTATGGCTCTAACCACCAAGCCATGTACGACTATGTCAAGCAGGTTGACCCCAGTCGTCCGGTGCACTACGAGGGAGACATGGAGGCCAAGACGGTCGACATGTACTCGTATATGTATCCATCAGTCGAGCGACTTGTCGGTGTTGCTACTGCAGAGGGAGATGAGTTTAAAAAGCCAATTGTGCTTTGTGAGTATGCTCACGCGATGGGTAACGCGCCTGGTGGCTTGGAAGAGTATATGGAAGCCTTCCGGACCCACCGGCGTCTGCAAGGAGGGTGGATCTGGGAGTGGGCAAACCACGGGCTCTGGGACGAGGAGAAGGGATGGTATGGCTACGGTGGTGACTTTGGCGATACGCCTCACGATGGCAACTTTGTGCTGGACGGGCTGCTATTCAGTGACCACACCCCAACGCCTGGTATCACTGAACTCAAGAAGGCGTATGCGCCGGTTCGTGTGTGGCCTGGTGAGGATGGGACTCTGGTTGTGGCGAACGACTACAATTTTGTTGGGTTGGAAGGTCTCCAGGCTTCTTACAAGATTGAGGTATTGGGAGATAGGTATGTCTCTCTCTATCCATTAGACAACCTTGTGCTGACACATTGTAGCGGGCGCATTATTGCCACAGGCAATATAAAACTTCCGTCTATTCCTGCCGGCCAAAAAGGGACTATCGAGCTGCCATCTGCGCCTGCTACAACAACTCCCGGGGAGGTGTGGCTCACCGTCAACTTCTATGAAAAAGCAGAGACAGCATGGGCCGGAAGCAACTATGAAGTCGCTTGGTACCAGCAGTGCCTCAAGTCCTCATCTCCGCGTCCCTCATTGGCTGTACCCGCTCAGGCTTTGACGCTCTCATCCACGAAGACGACACACAAAATCTCCGGCGCCACATTCAGCCTGGAATTCTCGAGAGAAACAGGCAGTCTCTACGCCTGGACATCCGACGGCCTCTCCCTCCTCGACCAGTCCTCAACATTTGGTGCCGTCTCTCCCGGATTCTGGCGCCCACCGACCGACAACGACATGTCCCATGATCTCCTTGAATGGCGGCGCTATGGGCTCGACACTCTCACCTCTCAGCTGCGCAGGATGCACGTCGTGCAACATAACCCCACGAGCGTAGAAGTCACTACGGAGACATACATCTCCGCGCCAATTCTGGGCTGGGGATTCTTCGCCTCGACCAGTTATACCATCGCTGGCAATGGTGCCGTAACCGTCAACGTGCACCTGAAGTCCCACGGTCCCATCCCAGCGGACCTGCCCCGGCTCGGCCTAGACGTACTTCTCTCAGACGAGCTAGACAACACATCCTGGTTCGGCCTGGGACCCGGCGAAGCCTACGCAGACAAGAAGCGCGCGCAAAAGGTGGGCATTTACAACGCTACCACGGCGGAACTGCATACCCCCTACGAAGTGCCACAGGAAGGGGGCAACCGGATGGACACCCGGTGGTTACGTGTGCACGACAGCAGGGGATGGGGTCTCCGGGTGACTCGCGTCAAGGAAGAGAGTGATAAGCAGCCGACTGAGCTGTTCCAGTGGCTTGCTACGCGGTACAGCCCCGAGGCTATCGAGGCGGCCAAGCATGCGCCTGAACTGGTTGCTGAGAAACGGGTCAGGTTGAGGCTGGACGTGGAGAGCTGCGGTGTTGGAACGGGAGCTTGTGGTCCTCGTACCCTTGACAAGTACCGGGTTAAATGTGAGGAGAGAAAGTTTGGCTTTACTCTGCAGCCTGTTTTGGCCGAGACGTGTTAGATTGTTTTAGTTGTTTTTAGTACTAATGATAGATATTCGGTTGATAGTCACTGGTTGCTCAAGCCTTCTTGCAACCAATAGAGAACGTTGAAGTTTGTCACTGAAGTCCATTGTAAGTAAACTTACCTCAGACAGAGCTGTGGCATGCATCGAACGAGCACCGATCCGGCGACTACCGCCTCCCCTTGCAGGAAGGAGGTCTTTACTTCGGATCGTCCCGCACTTTGGGTCAATAGCCGTAGATTTGACGAGAAAGTACAAGTGATGTAAATCAGTTGGTAGAGGAGTGAGCAGCTAATCGATGACCCCAAAAGGCAATCCTGCTGAAAGGAGAGCCACAAAGAGTGAAGAACGTCACATGCATATCATATCGTATGGTGCGGTTCTCGGGGGAGCCGGAAGGGTATTGATGACCACTGGACTGGAGAAATGGAAGATCATCATGCTCATAGTTCGATTAATTAGGTCGAGGACCCAGACTAGTTTCCCCGCCTCCCCATAGTCTTGCAGAAAGTGGACCCCCTTCGTCATGCTATATCCCGAGTGCGGGGAAGATGGCAGGGTATACTCAAGTACCTCATTCATGCGAGTATAAAAGGGCAGATGGAGGGAGGCACTTGTCTCCAGGCATTAACAGTCTTTTGGGAGAGCAACAGCACTCACCATGAAGTTAAACATCGTCTCTTCTCTTGTCCTGCTACAATCACTCGCCTGCTCAGCGTTGAACGCCCCATTCAGCGTCTCAGGCCGATGGATCCATGACTCCAAGGGCGAGGTCTTCACCTACGCCGGGGCCAATTGGCCCGGTGCGGGTGAGGTCATGATCCCTGAGGGGATGCAGTACGCTTCCATCGCGTCGACAGTCTCCAAGCTCAAGGGCCTGGGAATGAATGTCGTTCGTTTGACTTTTCCCATTGAGCTTGTGGATGATATCCTCGACAAGGGCGGAGATGTCACCGTGCAGAAATCGCTGATCAACGCACTGGGATCAACGAACGGGACCAAGGTATTCGATCAGATCCGCAAGGTGAACCCTCAGATCAAGTCCACGACCACTCGTCTGCAGGTATTTGATATGGTAGCTGCGGAGTGCAACAAGCAAGGACTCTATATCCATTTGGATAATCACATCTCCAAGGCGATGTGGTGCTGTTCACGCACGGACGGTAACACCTGGTTTGGAGATACCTACTACGATGTTGCCAAGTGGATGAGAGGGCTTGAGTATATGGTTTCTCATGTAAGTCACCTACCACAACAGAACGCAAAACATGCTGACCTGCAAGGCCAAAAAATGGCCCAACTTTGTCAGCATCGGACTGCGCAATGAGCTTCGCGAGCCCTCCACGATCAACACGCAGTACCCGTACAACTGGGGGACATGGTACACACAGATGACGACAGCAGCGAAGAGGGTCAACGCGGCCAATCCTAACGCCCTGATCTTCCTGTCTGGCCTCAACTACGATACCACGCTCGCGCCCATCCCGACTGCATCGGATCTCGGTAACGGGGTCAGGTTCCGTCTCTCCGACTTTAGCTTTGCGAATAAGCTGGTCCTGGAGCTCCACAACTATGAGACCGGTGCCACCAGCTGCAGCGCGCTGTCCGGTGCGCTATGGAACGCCGGATTCAAGGCCCAGAACTCGTCTGACCCGTCGATTGTGAATTCCATGCCGGTTGTCCTGACCGAGTTTGGGTTCCTGCAGGACAGCACCACCTGGAAGAATGTTTATGCCAGCTGTCTGCGGACATGGATTCCTGAGCAGCAGGCAGGTTGGACCACTTGGGTTATTGCGGGGAGCTACTACATTCGGCAAGGCACGCAGGACCTTGACGAGACATGGGGTAAGAGCCATTCCCAATGTGTTGCCATGTTGCAAAGGCTAATATGTGCAGGCATGCTTGATCATACGTGGTCTGGTTGGAGGTCTCGAAATGCGATTGAGCAGGGATTGAAAGTAATGGTCCAGTCGTCACTCAAGGGATAGGAGTCTGCAGTTGAGCAAAGACTAGTGCTTTGCCCTGTGGACACAACACCTTGACGATGAATAATTGTCTAGCCATTTGCATCACCCTTCCTGTTGGTCTGTTCACTACTGCAAGAGCCTAGCACATCTATTGTAAATGAACATGAATTAAAATCCACTCGCATGATCTGTATCATCAGCCCAGCCGGAAGGATCCCATGGCACCTGCATGCTTCAACTGAAGGCTTTGAAGGATCCGATGCATGAAAGTCTAATATTAGCTTCGTTCAACAGCGAGCAAACAGTAATCGTTATGAGATAATCGTTATGCGCTCTTGGCTTGTCTATTCTGAGTACTTGATGCTGGGAAATAGGATACACTTCATTGGCTGATGCAATGATCTCCTACTTACCATGATCAATGTCTTACATGCCTTGTTCGTTTCGATCGTCATTACCCTGATAGTGACATCTGGAATCAGTCGCTGTCAGCTTAACCTTGCTGGATTGTCGTTCGGAACGACTTTCAAACGCTTACTCTTGCCACTGGCGTCCGAATACAATAAGATCATCAAAGAGTTCATTTCCTGGCCAGCCCTGACGGCCACCCACGAATACGAGGTTGCCCTAGACAGGTGGAAGTAGACATTGCTGGAATTGTCCGGGATATCAAGGGCGAAGGTTTATTTTTTGAAGTGCTTCCCAGGGGGAGAGTAAATGTGCTCACAGCAGCACTTGCTTCTTCGCTAGGAAACAGTGACGAGCTGGGAATGACAGACTTAGGGTCCAAGAATCAGTAACTGATGCCCAGAATAGCCAAGCTCGGACAAGCTCAAGATTGCGGGGCATTAGCAGTGCGCAGTTGATACATACCAGACAGGCAGAGTCCGTTTCGTAAAAATCGCACCATTATGGTGTATGAGTTACGAGCGTCAAGCAGCCTAGAGTTACAAGAGCGTTAACGAAGCCAACCGTGAGAAACCTATTATGTGGACTTTCCTGTCGAACAGGAGCGGTCCATCACCGTCCACCACACCGATTAGGCAACGCTGGTCCAGCCATCGATGACCATCATCCTTCCTTCCATTGACTACATCGAGTTTCTTCTATTTCTGGCACAAATTGATGCCGAAACTTAACAAGGGGGGTTCCTTGCCATAGTCAGTCTAGGCTGGCTATCAAGAAAAACTTGATAATACGCACTGACAGCAAGACCCACAAAGCTAGTCCCTGACAGAACCATGGTCCCTGCAGTGAAAGAGACAGTCACCTATGATTGAAAAGCATCAGAGATTTTATTAGCTTGTGAATGGTGTGATATAAAATTCAGAGCTGTTCCCATCCTGACTGAGCTTAGGTTGATCTATACTTAGAACAAACGAATATGGTTGCATTCTGTAATATAATTGCGGAGGTGAGTACTTTTTATATTTATTACCAACTATGAATGTGAGTGCAACATAATTTTCATTGCTCTTCAAAATGCAGACTTCAAACAACTCCAACTTCGAGTTCAGCATTCCTCCCTCGATTTCGCTCCTGAAGCGTGTTGGGACAAGTAGAACACTTTCTTTGCCTTCAAACCCAGTTCTTAACGTATCGGCACCGGACGCGATATATCTTTCAGAAATGTTTTGATATCATCAAATCTTTTCGCCTCCTCAGTTTTCAGGACCCATCTTGACCCGGCTCTCAGGTTTTTCTCTTGATATGGATTGGATGCCATCCAGTTTGACCATTTCGAGATAACTGCGATGGCGTCAGCAGCGGCAATTTCAAACCATTCAATGTGCTGCTTCAAACAACCAGTGCAATAGATTCTGAGCCGTCGATGATGTAGCTCCGCGTGACACAAAGCCTCGACGCGACGGGCATTTGGAACTTTTTGCGGGTTTGATGAGTTCGGATAGAGCAATTTGGGAGCTCGATTGCATGCAAACGCCCACTCCTTATGACGCTCATCCGTAGTACGACTGGTATATCCGATTTTGACGAATCCATCGTTTCCCTCGACCTCATACATGTATACATATCCATCCTTCAAGTCACCCAACTTCGCATTCAAGGGACTCCTGGCTTGCCCTGCAATTTGCTTGTATGACAATTCGTAGTCGTTGAGTCTATCGCTCCTCTCTATGATGCTGAAAGGACTCACATCATATGCCGCGGGCCAATATTCAGCCGGATTTATATTCAGTCTTAGAGGCGATAGACGTGAGGTTCTCGCCGTCAGGACCACGCGCTTTTGAGAAGCTGACGGTGGAGTGTCTTCAGCCAACTTCGCACACTGGGCATGGCATATGCTGTGAATCTCCATGATCCTCGATTTCCACAATTCCACATGTCTGAGGGGTTGTCTATCATGGCGATCGCAAAGCCTATTATGTTCAAGAACTTTGAGAAGGTGCTCAATATCATCATCGTCTAGATCAGTCGCCGAATAGACAATCTCGTTAATGGTGCTAGTACAGTTCTGCGCCTTCTGTCCTCCGATTTCACGGCAACAATTGCCCTGCGCTTGGGTTTTCCCTATGCACTGTGTAGACAATCCGTCTAGAGCTTTTCTAATTTGCCGCTCTAGAGACAGAAAAGGCTTGTTGCCAGGATCTCCGGTAGGAATGGTGGATATCCATTCCTCGGCACGAGATGTGATGAACTGTCCATGGTCATGGTACCAACAGTGCACGAGCTTAGCCAGGTTTTCTATCTCGCCCTCGAGCTCCGGGGATGAGGGGATGAAACCGAGGATTGATTTGATCATCTTGTCGATCTTCGCCTTCTTCTTCTCCGCAATCCTCATCTTACAAGGCTGCTTCTGTTTTGTGGGACATCCACATCGTCCAGTATCGAGACTAAGCAGAGATTTTAACGCAGGAGGATCAAATTCGACTGCGTTCCCTTCTGGCTGGACATCGTTTGTCAACTCTGGCATACCTCGGGGAGGACTTGTGGGTGGAGTGAGAAGTATAGAGGGCTCAGTTCTGGATGCGGCGCCATCTTTGAGCTCACTCTTCGCCTTGTAATCATCGAAAGATATTGCTGGAGACGGGGAATTCGGAGGACTTGGATGGATTGTCGTCGTCGCCTTCCGCAACTCGGGGACGTTCAAGGGAGGCAGGGCGACCACGGCCGAATTGCTCTTTGGGAACATGGAGGAGGACTGCTTATCAGAATCTCACGGATTGATAGATCAAGCGGGGTCCTTCTAGAAAAGATGAGAGTGAGGCGCTTGCTCAAGCTCGGGGAATTGATTCCTCGTGCTTGTACTTAGCTTGAAGACTAAAAGTCGCCGTCCATCAGGAACGGAAGAGAAACGAAGACGCAAGTCTTATGATTTAGTCGAGTCACATTGGGTCCTCTCAGAATACGAAAGATCTATTACCCCGCGCATTCTCCCATGTTCATGACGAATGAAATGAAACAAATCCTAAGCGCTGAGCACAGCCGCAACCTGAAAAAAGCAAATTCGGAGTGAACTGATTGTGTCAAATAAGGCCGCTGCCTCCTGGGCTAGATCTGCCGCCCACCTATTTCCAAACTCCTAGAAATACAGCCTTTGCATCTTACCATCATGAAGCTCTCTGCCCTTCTAACGATGCTCGGGCTTCTGCTCTCTGGGGCCGCTGCCATCGAGATGGTTTGAAAACCCAATCTGCTGTATACCTTCTCTGCTTAAATAATGGTCACAGGAAGTCCGAGCCGAAGCCGGCAGTGATTGGATTCTAACTCCCATCGAAGACGGAGTGTGCAAGACATTCGACGTGGAGTATGTCTCTTGCTTATGAAACCTATTATATCCCGGGCCCTCGCTAACCGGTCTCAGAGTCGTGCAGATCAACCTCGTCCCCTGGTCCAACGGCGGAAAGTCTTTCCTTTGCAGGACATACGCGTAGGTTCCCTCTCAGAACAATGTTTTCTGATGCAATCAGGCGAGTATATTAACTTACCTCACTGAAGGCTTCCTGAATGTCAAGGCGAGTCTATGGGACAAATCCCGTCCAATCACCCGCTTACTGGCATTCTTGATCCCCCGAGATGGTCTGTTTACTGTTGGACGGCGTGCTGCTGGCCGTGATAAGTGTTTACATGGGTTGAGCAGTTATTGAACCTGATGATGTGATGATGTACTGAGTGACTGTCTTGCAAGCGGATATCTGTCTTCTGCTCCAGCGGAAATTTGACAGTCCAAGAATAGCCATGCCTCAGTGCCCTGAAAACTAAAGTGTCATGCGAAACACTGTCAGGTAGAGCAGCCTTTTTAGCAGAAACTCCAAGAGTGCCTTGTTTGCAAGTGATATGATGTCCTCTTCATCCAGACAGCCCTTGGCTCCGTGTTGAAGTAAGGGTTAGGCAGCCTCTCTGTCTCTGTTATTGATTGCCCATGATAAAGCGGACTCCCTGACCTGGAGATTGGAATTGGCACCGTGCGCCAAGCGGTTTCGAATCACAGCCTTCTTGTTGTTCTCAACAGCGACTTCTAACGGACTGCTCTCCCGGACGTCTCTTCCTACACGTGCAACGGTGGTACTTTTCGAAATCGAATCTCTTTGCGCGCCTGCTTCAAGAAGGAGGCCCACTACTTCGCTATGGCCTTCTGCTAAGGCGTGCATTAGTGGAGTAGTGCCGTTTTCGTCTGGAAGATTTGGGCTCGCACCCTCATTGAGCAAGAGTCGAACCACCGCCTGATGACCATTCTTCGCTGCTAAGCACAGTGGGGTGAGGCCGTAGGTGGTGGTGTCTATATTCTTGAATCTATACTCGCTCCAGCGTCGGCCAGCGATGTCCAGACAAGATCGTCTTTGAGATTCACATCTACTCCGCGTTCAAGGAAGTACTTGACCTTGGATTCATCCCAAATTCTAGCCGCGGTAAACATGTCCGCCACAGGCCTCGCCCCATACCGATGTAGAAGCATTTTCAGCCTTTCATGACCCTTCTCGACGGCGATTTGGAAGGGAGTGGACAAACGCCGGTCTCTTGCATTAACCTCATGGCCGTCCATGAGCAGCGCCTCTGCCTCGTCCTCAAGGCCTAACTCAACCGCCAGGTGAAGAGGTGTCGTTTCCTCTTTTAGACCCTGGACCCAAGCGTCGAACTTCTGGTCACTCATCAACAGTTTCCCGACGAGGGAGTGATTGAGAGGTTGTTTCCTGGCATGATACAGCCAGCTTTCCGCTGCATATGCATACAAAGGGTATTTCCGACACCTTTCTTCGTAATTATCCTCGCACCCACATCCCCCGGCTTCGAAATCATCATAACAAAGATAGGTGACGCATACCTCGCCGATAGCGCTATGGGCGTTTGGGAACCAAGATGCCCATGTCCTCTCCAGATATTCTTGCGTTGTGTAGTGAACCAAGCTGATGATATGATTCTTCTCATTGTATGTGATCAGTCCCGAACAGGAAGAGATCATCTCCTCCACGTCTGGCGAGTTTTCTTCATTAAATGAACTTTCTCCAACCACAACAGCAAGACCATGCTGGAGTTCTGTCAGTGTAAGAGCGCGCCGCGCAAAGGTAAGCCAAGCCAATGCTCGCTTTGCGAGTTCAGCTCGGTCTCCTATTTGTTGCTGGATTTGCTTCATTGCCTTCTCATACGCATGTTCGTATGCCTCCCACCCAGTCTTGGATTTGTTGAGGGCCTCTTTTATAGCTGTGATACTACATTTTCCCTTGAGGGAATCAAGATACACTCTGGCGAGCAAAAACCTATGTTGATCAGTCATTATTCTTCTGAAAGTGTTATCGAAAGGGAACTCACATTCCATCGACTTTCTTAATAATTTCCGAAATGACAAGGTCATGGATATCTGGCTTTCTTCTCACGATGGAGGGTAGGTTGCTCTCAACATATCGTTTCACGTCTGCGTCACTAGCTCGGATCTCCACCGAAGGAAAATTTTGGAACTTCGAGGTAATTCCCGGAATAAACCTAGCAGTTGCCATGAAGCTAATATTGAAATGTCGTTGGAGGTCGAGGATATGGGAAATCAGATGGGTCCGCGTCCCGTCAGAGTCCGAGCACTCGTCCAATGCGTCAATGATCATATAAACGTGTGAATATAACCCTGAAGCTACATCCAGCATCTCCAGAATGTCTCCGAGCTGTGGTTGCATTCCATTTCGCTGATATGTCTCATAGAACGTTTGGATATCCTCCGGGATGTGGTACAGGCCTCGTATGAGCTGCCCCAGGATATTTGCCAGTATGATGTCTAACTTCTGGCTTTCTTGCTGCTGGAAATTGCAGAAGATGTAAGCAAAAACAACATCATCGTTTGTTCCATGCTTTTTTCGAAGGTAGTCAACCACAATGGATGTCAGTATCGTCTTTCCGGCGCCAGGAATGCCAGGGCAGAAAAGGACCCCCTTCTCCCTGTCCCATTGACGGAACTCATCAGTTTCAAATATCCACTGTCCAGTTCCGTCTTGTCGCTCACGTAAATTTGCACTTTGCTGTGATGCATAGTCTGTTGAGCAAAGCCAGCTAGCAATCAGTTGCCGTTCCTTGTCATGACTGCGTTGAACCAACATCTGGAACCCAGGATCAGTACTTGGAACGATGGTTTGCCTGGATGAGATTTCGTTTAGCATTTGAAGCATTCATATTAGGGGCCCTAAACTGACAGTTTCACTTCATCAATCGGCATGTGGAAGAACAGCTGCCTAGCATATGCTGCAGCTGCCGCCGCTGCGAAACCATCCCACTGGTCGTTATTGTGCGAATCGCAGTAGTGTGAAATACCTCGAATGACAAGGCAATGGAAGTCGGCCATTGCTCCGGCAGCCTCTCTTTCGAAACAGAGGGCCCCGTATTCCTTGGCGAGCTTGTCCCTCAGTGCACTGTCCTTTAGCATAAGCTCTCCAGACGCCACGGTACCTCGGTGTACCACAATGGGTTCATCAAATTCACCTATCTCGCGTTTTATAATGTGTGCTGTGTCACATCCACTCTCTTCGCAGGACAGTCCAGGGCAGGGATGCTTGTAATCAGCCGGAAATAGCTTGTCATTTTCGATACCAGGGAACTCGAACCGTCGCAGCTGGGGCTTGCTTGTGTCTACGCGTTGAACATTCTTCATAATAGGGTCTGTATCTGATCGAGCACGCTGAGCAGCAAGCGATCGCGCAGCAAGGAGAAGAACTACAGGTGGTGGAGCTAATGCCCCAGTCCGCTCAAATACCCCATCTCTCGCCTTCCCATGGTCATACTGTATCGCTCCCGAAAATGGCCCGACAGGTTGGCTCACAACCACATGCCCAAGGCGCAGCATGCCATGTTCAGTTATCGTTGGCACGCCGCCTCCTATACCGACCAACAGAGCAAAGCGAAGGTTGGGGAATCGGATACGCATCTGCGTCACCACTGCTGTGGCCGGGTTGTTCCCAGCTTGCCACAATCCAGCAATGACGACTTTGTGACCTGCGACACTACCAAGATGGTAGAGATTGTGGTCTGTGGAAGGTTGGCCTAGCGGCTCGTGTTCCTCATCCAGCATTTGCAGCGCCGCAGTGAGCTCGACCTCCAGAGGGCAAACCCATCCGACTGTGTAGTCCTCATGCGTGAACCTTTTCTTCTGTGGCTCTGCGCCAGTCTGGACTTGATCACCACCCCCTTGTCTCTTTGCTTCTCTATCGTCCGCGTGGTTGCCGCGTTTGAGCATGTTGGCCATTTACCGAGACTGCTATATTAGATGGATATGTCGCTTCTTCCAATAACCGTACAATCACCGCATAGTCGATCGAACAAGGGAAAATGCAGACTGAAAGGATATTCAAGAACATTAACAGCGTCGGCCAGGCTGAACTGAGGGGTCTCTGGGACTCTCCAAATCCCCAATTAGCGCCCAATTCTGAAGCAATACCAAGATAAGCGACAGGGGTGCTACCAATAGCAAGCCACCCTCTCAACTTCTCGGCGCATAATGCAACAAGGTGATTTGGTCTTTTGTTTTGTAAACCAGTCTCGCCTTTTCCACGCCTGCTTCTCATTCGTGAGCCTTGAGAACTCCGTAAGATGTATGAGACATTATATCGCTTTACCACCCCTCAAGAGAGTAGAATCGCTGCGTCAGGAGCAAGATACTGGAATTCTGTGACTGGCGCCCTAAAACTGCTCTCGCCTGTATGTTCGGTTGCCAGAGCCGTTGCCCATGCTTTGAAGTGCCAATTCTGCGGCCATGCAGGAATATCGTTGCACAGTTTTAAGTATATCAGTTCCATGATATGTGTCATTCTACATTTAGACAAGGCCCTTAATGACAAGTAATGCTATAGGCATATGAAATATCCTCTTATCTATCATGGTTAATGAGATATATTACTCCTGCTGTACTTCCTGTATGGTGAGTTCCTTAAGTAGAGCAACATGTATCCGTGGCTAGGCAGATCGCTTTAACCCAATGACTAACATCATGTTACATTGTAACAGATTAAGACGCTGTATCCCAGGAAACAGCGAGGCTAAGCGGCAGTGACCTTGAGGGTGTGCTGTATATACCCTTGTCAGCCGAGGATGCCGAGGAACGATGAAGCATGAACCATACCAGTGGACCACATACCGCATTGGATCAAGTGCACTACGTTGCACTAAAACAGTGATACACAGGAAACAGGAAATCCTCGCCATGACTGTGACCTACAGCTTCGGGAATCAGATATCATCAAGGCAATAATGCATACGTGAGAGTATATTGACCACAGCACCTCCAGACGGCCATGGAATGGAGAGAACTACGATGACTGATTTGACGCCGTCCCAAAGATCTTCCTCACTTGAGCTGTTCTTCTTAATTGAATTCCGTCTAAGGTCGGCGGGCTTACAGTCCGGGCTTTGTCTCTTATTCCGTCCGACAATTTCTATTCTGTCCAGAGATAAGCATCGTCTGCGAACTTGATTGACCGGATGATCCGAAGGCATGGAGCAAGAGAAATATCTGCCGAGAGTTTGGACTTCCTCGGAAGCAGGAGCCCTATTGTCTATTGGGTATTTTCCGCCGTAATGGCCGTCATTCAAACTAATACAAGCATTCCACTATTTGAGTAGTCCATCTTCTAGATATTGCACTTGTTGCAACCCTACAAGCAAAGTGCAACTTGTCAAGTCAGCCAGCACATTCCCAATGCAGTGGTTCTTAGTCTAGATGCGGATTATTATGTGAAGACTGTGATGTGATACGGCAACCGGTCCGTCCGCTTTTCAATCGGACTGCAGCTCAGCTGGCCATTACATGTGAGATAATTCATAGGGTTGGTCAAATTCTTACTATCTACCCACCTGCTTCCGTTGCTAACATGGTGACAGCCATCCCTTGCGTTGAGTTGTAGTCAGATTACCTTCAGTTCGGCGTATATATATGATCAAGCAATCAGCCCGCGATGACACGCGCTGTTGACCGCATCGGCCTCGACCATACGGCCAAGTCTTGCCCAAAGAACATAGACTATCAACATGGATGGACTCGATTTCGACACTGCTCCGGCCGAATTCCAAAAGGTGCGGTGGATAGTGGAGACGCCACTCATTATTGCCGGGGTGGGATGGACACTGAACTACTTCTTCACTATCCGCAAAGCATATCAGGACCGCATGTCTGGTGTCTCGCTAATAGCTTTATCTAACAACCTGGCTTGGGAGATTGCTTTTGCTCTTATCAATCCACCACCTAATCCTTTCGCGAGGGTCAACTATCCTCTGTGGCTGTCTATCAATGCATTCGTCCTGTATGCAACCGTCAAATTCGAGAGAGAGTCTGGTTCCCATTCGCCATTCATGCAAAGACACCTACCCTTTATTGTGCTTATTAGCATTCTAAGCATGTTGTCCGGACATCTCGCCTTCTCATCCCATGTCGGTCCCTTGGCAGCTCTCTTCTGGGGGGGGATGTTTTGTCAAGTGACGCTCAGCGCAAGTGCATTGGGTCTCCTTTTTCAGCGTGGCCATACGCGAGGGATGTCATATAAGATGTGGTAGGCTCGAGTCTCTCGCAGTTGTCATCTTTTAGAATTGTCAAACCTAGCGCTCATCTCATTAGGCTCACCCGGTTTATTGCCACCGGCGTCACGGTACCGGGGCTGTTCGTGAGAGCCGCCTACTGGCCTGCAAAATGGGACTGGGTCGACAATGTTCTTATGTACTGGCTGGTGGGAGCTTTCTATTGCTTGGATATAACGTATGGAGTGTGTTTGTGGTATTTCCGGAGGCTCGAAAGGATGTCATCTCGAGTCAAGCAAGGATAGGTTGTCTAGATTGCCTACAAGGTAACAGAAACAATCACGGTTTGTACACGCTTCATACTGTGGTTATAAGTGTTAGAGTTCTCTGGATCTATTGCTTCAGCAATATATATATATATATATATATATATGTATGTATGTATGTATGTATGTATGTATGTATGTATGTATGTATAGCACTTTGCATATTACACTGCCCCCTGACTGCCCACCAGCGATCCCCCCTGAGCTGTTGTTCCAGTTTCTCTCGGGTTCATCATTAAAACCATCTACATACAGCCCTGTATACTCCCTGGCAGCGAATGGTACACCATCTGGCTTTTAAGATGCTGTGGTCATTTTATCCGGAGCATAAGCGAGTTTGTCCATCAATGCATGTAACTTAACCGGTCAGGCAAAGGGCGCGCCAGTGATCCACCGAATCATCATGTCAAGCGCTACATCCGGTCGATCTTGAGGGAGCTATTGCCAGAAGTTAGCCCCAACTACTACTTATTGTATTCTCGACGTCTGCTCACCAGATGACCAGCACCATCCACAGTGACAAGTGCAAACCGTGACTCGGTGTCTGCATCACCCACACGAACCCGAACTTCCTTCATGGTACCAACCGTCTCATTCCGGCCTGTCGCTGCAACGGGCGACCTCCAGGGACGTAGGGGCTTCGAGGCAAACTCAGCCTGACCCTTCCAGGGCAGCGAATGCGCCCAACGGAGGTTCCCGGCTGTATTGCAAGCGAGATCCAGATTCCCCTGATAAGCCAGGAAATGGACCTTGTTTGCCAGGAGAAAGGCGACCAGATCGGAAGTGGACGTCATACCGTCTGAAGTCTTTGCAAAGGCTTCGATGACTGCTTCCGAGACCATTTTGTATTCGGTAATCTGTTTGGGGGGTGACAGAGCGTTCCAGACAGCTGGTGTGTTGAGATATTGTTCAACATGCGCAGCTTGGATGTAGCACATGTCGTCGATTTCACAGGGCGCCGTGACTGAATTTGACTGTGCTTAGCAATTGACATATCTTTGTTCTTTTTATTCAACTTACTGTCAAACCTGTTTCGCCCCCCTTTACCGGACTCATCTTCATACAGACCGATTACACCCTCGTAGCAGACAGAGAGGGCAGCGCTGCACAAAGCCGGATCTGGATTCTGGATACACACTGCACTGACTTCCATGCACCGAGGCATGTTCGAGGCGATGAGATCGCAGCGAGTCTGGTTGAATACGGGCTTCTCCACGCCTGGATTCGTGGTGCAGAGCGTTTCCCAATACCCGAAGAATGTATCTCTCGGGGACATGAAGCCATTGCCCACCAAACACGACTTTAGCCGCACCTGTGGCTTGCTGGGATACAGCTCGTTCTGCTGTATGATTTGAGCGCCAAGGTACGGAATATAGTGACCCTGAAAAGTCAGTACAGTACGGTCTGTGGAAAAAAAGAAAAACATCTTCCGTACCGCATATGACTCCCCAGAAAGATGGACAGGAAGATCCTGCAGGTGAGGAAACACTTCAGAGACAAACAGCTGCAGAAAGCGATGCATGTCAACCGCAGCCTCCTTTGAGTCACGAGGCAGCTCATGTCCTCCATCAATGTATGAGAAGCCCACATCGACAGGCTGATCAACGAAAAGGAGCGATGAGTTGCGGGACCACCCCCAGGGGTTGTGGTAGGTCCCGTTGCCGTGTTCATTCACCAGACAGGGGCTAATCTCCTGGAACAGGCCAACCATACTAGAGGCGCCGGGGCCCCCGTTCATCCACAAAGTTAATGGGTCATTAGAGGGATCATTCTGGCTTTCGAAGTACCAGAAGAAAAGATGCTTGTGGCCCACATCGAGCCAGCCGGTGTATTGAGGTGAGCCAGCTGCGCATATGGACTCGTTTTGCCGCTTGATTCGAATTGAGTGATCTGGGGAATGGTGGCTCTGAACAATGCGAAATTCATTACTTTGGTCCGATACAGGCCGCAACACCTCCTGGGTGGCATATGCCACGCTGTAAAGAGCGAATTGGAGGAGGCAAGGAACGACCATGACAAAAGTTGAAGGCAGTAGGATAGAGAAGGATCAGGAGAAGGAGGGTGGGAAATGATTCATGCTGTTCTTAAATAACTAGGTACCATTAAAAAGTGAGTAAGCACGAAACCCCTGTTCCAGTAAATACACCGGATTGGCTTAAGAATAGACCGGACTACATGTTACAGGTCGGAGTTCGGAGTTCGGGCTCGGACAGGGCTACTCTGATATTATGATTGTATCAACAAAAGCAGTCCAAAATGGGAATTTGATAACCTAATTGTAGGCGTGGTTGTGAATCAAGGATGATGAATCCAGCTTCTCCTCTAGCCTCTCGGTTGCCCCATTAATCTTACATGATTTCAAGCTTCCTTACCGTCAACCAATAGTCCTGTAGAAGCTGCTTGGCCGTTGCTCTTTCAGGCATCCAGGTTAAAGCCTATCTGATAAATCGAAGGAAGTCCGAGTTATTCACCAGGCGCGATTCCAGTGCTTCCATTGTCCGTCCATCCGGAATAGGTGCAAGACCCAGCCAATTTCCTGCGACTATGGTTAATCAATGAAGACTCTGATTTGATTGGGTGCGAATAATTCCCCCTGCAGTTACTCAATACATGATCAGGAAACCAACGTACCATGCTCGTCCCAAAAGTCGGCTTTTCTCTCCGGATCTTTAGCGAGAAATTCGAGAGGTGGTGGACCCAACGCAGCAAGGACAATAGCGTAAGGCCTTCTCTGGGACGCATCAAACGGGAGAGTTATTGCGAGTAGATGTGATTCGTTTGCGAGGCACTGGAGATGCGAAATCCATTTCCCGAGCTTTTCGAACATTTGACTATCGTAGGCACCTAGAAGCATGTTGCCAGGGTGCAGGTCTACCACAGATCAGTCAAGAATTTGGAGGGACGAGGCTGAAAAGGATAACGGGGACAGGGACAGTACCAGTGTGGTCGACCTCTCCCTGGTTATGCAGAAAGTCCAAAGCCTGAAGAAGTTCCGTTATAGCCCCCCTAACAAAGTCTTCGTCAAACGCCTCCGGCTGGAATACCAGCTTCATATCATGCAAACTCATTTGTGCAGCCTCAAAAACAAGGACAAGGTGTTTGCCATGTTCACCTGCATTTGAAAAGAATCTAGCAATCTTTGGATATTGCCTTGTCCTCGATATGAACTACCTACCATACGGCTGGCAATATAACTGCAGATTGGTAGTTCCTGGTGAACTAATGAAGTATGAATTATACCTGCAGAGCGACGTATTGATGATCTCTGTGCTATTTAGCCCTGAACCATGATATTTCTGAGTACGCCTATTTGTAATCTCGAGCTAGCCACGTAGTTGATGGAGAGCCAAAACCTAGCTTGGCAATTGTTTGGTAACGGCTCTACAATAGGAAAACTGTTGAACTAATCATATTCTCGCCAGCTCTTGCCAAGGTATCCTCACGGGTGTGGGATAGTACAGCTACAAGGGGATACCAGGACTAGGTAGACATGATGTGCAAGATCTGAACCTGGAACCAGGGATGGGCCGGTATTTTGCTTTTGTAAGAATTGTTTCTGTGGGCCAGTTCAATTCTCTAGTTATACAGCCTCTATCATATGGACGAACAACTGCTTGACAACTCTGACCATGCCGTGATGCAACAAAGTAACCCGGTACTGGAGGCGTGAGCATGTTTGCTTTATTAACTTAGAATTGTTAAGAGGCAGTAAAGCTATAAACACTAAGCATGAAGAGGCATGGTACCATATCAAAGTCAAGGTTCAAATCATTGACCCGCTCTTTACTGCTCTAACTCGGCCGTATCCACGCCGGGCATTCCTCTCATCAAGCTATCAAAAAAGGCCATGTCGACCCCCTGGAAAGTCCAGTCATTAACACCAGCCGTGATGGCAGGAAGCCCCGCATGCGGTTGCAGAGTGATGTCGTCTTGGCTAGGGCTAGAGTCGTGCAGAATGGGCTGTTCATGTAACTGCGCGTTCAGCCAGTCTGATGCTGGCGGGGTCCCCTGAAAGGGTGAGCCTTGGGCCGTGTCGTGCAGATGGTTAAGTGGCTGTTGTTCCTCCGTGGACGACGAATGAGGGAGAGACGTGAGCGCATCGTTGGATACGGCGAGTGTTGGCCCCGTCTGTGAAAACTCGACTGGCGTTATTCGGTGCGGTTCGTACACCTCGCAAAAGATAGGATCCTGGAGGGCAATCTTGACTACGCCGAGGTACGGGATATGCAAGCGAAGCTCGTCATTTTTCTTCCCAGTACCCTCTTGTCCCTCGTCGTCATCTTTTATTACGCTTCTGGTGGTGTAGCTGCGTCCGTCAGCGGCGTCCGCCTCGATGTCGAGTAGGCGTCGGATCAGTTTGGCACTCTTCCCGGTTATTACGTCCTTGTTCATGTTACTGATGACATCCATTCGCTCCAGTGCTTGCTCTAGTATGGCGCGGTCACTCAAGCGTTGGTGAGCAAGGATGTTAGTCGCTTCTCGATGATGATGAGCTTCGAGATGAGCAAGCAGGAGAGTCATTGCCGCCAGGAGTGCAAAAAAGTCTACGGGCCGCGAGCAGGACGACATGGGGTTGAATGTCCGGTGAGCAATAAAGCGCGTCATTATTTCCCGGCCGGCATTGACGCAAGGGATCTTGGAGTACTCATGGTCGATATGACTGCCTATTCCATGCATCATATATGGTAGATGGAGATGAATCAATAAGCCATAGTAGTAGACCTGCGCTGACAAGCGTACGGTTTCCAACAGGCTCTCCGGCGATCCAGGGGTAAGGCTATGGAAATTTGCCGGCCGCCAAAAGCTGGTGGGCATGCTCCGTGAAAGCCTCAATAGCTCTGAATCGATGGATTGGGTTGTCATGATTGCGCCTGGGGTGAATGCACTTTCACTGCGTTCCAAGATGCACGACGCAATGACGGTGAGTTGTCGCTCGAATTTGCCGAGGGGTGGTTCATGTTGCAGAGCCGATATGGCTCCCATGCTGTTGTCGGTTGTACCCTGAGGGAGACCAAGCAATAAGCTGAGGTATCGGTCCATATACACGATGCGGAACCACAAGAACTCGGGGTCTGCGCGCAGCTCTGGCTCGATGCGTTTCAGGGGTGGCATCGGGGACCGGTGCAGGCCCATCAACTGGGCTACTGTCATTGCCCGGCGATAAACAACCCAAGCCCGTCGAAGATTGCCAGAGTTCACCTCAAAGACTCCCTCTAGGATGATGCAAATCAGGCTCTCGACCGTGCCGTGCATCTCCTCCTTGGTCGTTATCCATGTCGTTGCAGCCGTCTTCAAGCGGCTCATGAGTACGCTTTGTGGTTCAGAAAGACCCCGAACCTTTTCTCCACACGGACTCTGTAGTGTGATTGCGAACATGAGCATTTGTTTGGCCAGAATGACCGGATGGGTGTTGGGACCAGGAAGTTGAGCTATCGGGTGCGGCACGGCAAGCGACTCGAGCGTCAGCTTACTATGTGGCTGGGTGTTAATGAAATGGGTATAAAGCGACGGTCTCAGGCTCTCCCTGAGCAGGATCTTCGCATCATTTTCAGCTGGAAAGGCCGCCCATAGATGATGAAGCGCTGTTGTCTCGGTTTTGGTTCGACCTGATACACTTTGCGAGTTGCGCGTGAGTGTAGCTTGTATCGATACGGGCGCTGAATCTTCTGAGCGAGACTTTGGTTGATCCGAGTGCCTGTGTTGCGGTAGCTCTCCTTCAGCAGCATGTTTGCTAGCAACAAAGTCCTTGATGAAGTCTTCGACTTTGGCGATGCGTTCGCTGAGATGCCGACTGCCTTTTCTTGCCGGAGACAGATCCTCGGGCAGGTCCTGACTGATGCAAGGAGCACGCCGGTGCTGGCAGCCGATGCAGGCGACATCGTCTGGGGTTGAGAAGATGCACCGGATCTTCCGCCGCTTGCATTCCCAACATGACCGCGTCCCTTTGCGCACCCTCCTGCGCTTGGCCGATGGTTCTTGGTGATGTACTTCTGTCGTAACTGATCCTTCCATGGCTGCTGCCGACTAGAGTGCTGCTCTTGTTCTGTAGCGACGATGTTTCGAGGATGTTTGTACTGGATGTTGTCAGATACATATTTCCGCCGTGACGGGCGAAGCGTATTTGTCAGCTCTGGTGAATTAACTAACTAACTAACTAGTTAACTATACGGACAATATACGGCCTTTCGTCCGTCACGGCGGAAAACACAATCAACCTATAACACCCTACTTAAGCCCCTATTTCTTGCGAGAATGGAGCTAGACAAGTCTCTTTTAGTCTCTCTTTACTGCAGTATCAAAAATGGCTTCTCCAACAGCCGTCCAAGGGAAGCCCAGACACGACCTGCCAAGAGAGGAGGGGCCACCAATGGATCCCAACAACGATAGCCCCAAAGAGGTCGACGAGAAATTGGTGACACCAGCTGCACCTAGCGGACCTCCTCCGCCTCCTAATGGTGGACTCATGGCATGGAGCCAGGTTGCCGCCGGCTTCGTTCTCTTCTTCAACACATGGGGCATGATCAACACGTTTGCTGTCTTCCAAACCTACTACGAGAACGGCGAGCTCTTTGAGGCCTCGTCTTCCGATATCTCCTGGATAGGTTCCATCCAATGCTTCCTCCTTCAGCTGACCGGGCTCGTTGCCGGCCCCATCTACGATCGAGGCCACCTCCGACTGCTCCTCATCACCGGTAGCTTCCTGGTCGTCTTCGGTCTCATGATGCTCTCCCTGTGCACCAAGTACTGGCAGGCCTTGCTGGCGCAGGCCTTTTGCATCGGCATCGGCGGCGGCCTGCTCTTCACGCCTACCGTATCGCTGCTTCCAACGTGGTTCAGCACACACATGGGCCTCGCCGTCGGCATCGCCTCATCGGGCTCCTCCCTCGGCGGCATCATCTACCCTATCGTACTCTACCGGCTACTCGGCCCGATCGGCTTCCCCTGGGCCGTCCGCACCCTCGGCTTCATCTCCCTTGGCACCTTCATCCTCCCGCTGGCCGTCATGCGCATGCGTATACGCGTGCCCAAGCCGCGCGCCGTCGTCGACTGGTCCGCCTTCACCGACGTCCCCTTCATGGTCTTCACTCTGAGCATGGTCATCCTCTTCATCGGCAACGCAGTCCTCATCTTCTACATCTCCTTCTACCCGGAGAGCCGCGGCTTCACCGACACCTCGCTGGCCTTCTACATGGCCGCCATTTTCAATGCCGGATCCGTCCTGGGGCGTATCGCCCCCAACGCGCTGTCGGACCGCATCGGCGTCTTCAACACCATGGCTCCCATCACCCTCCTCCTGGGCGTCACCGTCCTTTGTATGCTCGGCGTGCACAATGCAGCTGGCATGATCGTCGAGGCAATCGTCACTGGCTTCTTCAGCGGTGTCGTCGTCGCCCTCCCTCCTGTGTGCTTCCGTGTCCTAACCGCGGACAAGTCTATGATTGGCACGCGCATCGGACAGGGCTTTGCGATTGGCGGACTGGGTCTGTTGATTGGTGGGCCAAGCGGTGGTGCCATACTCGGGAAAAGTGAACCTCTGGATTGGACGGGCCTGTGGGTTTATGGAGGTGCTGCTGGCTGCGTCGCTGGCTTCATCCTTGTTGGTGTTCGAATCATGAAGGCCGGCGTTGCGCTGAGGGTTAAGGGTTGATTACATTGTTTCGCTGACTGTCGGTTTCTGTTGAGTTATGTGGCCTGTGGAGGTATTCTATTGGTTCTAGGCAGTGCAGATATAATAATGTTGTTGCTGATATAGAGGGGAATGATCGTTTCATCATGGTTGGTACAGCGTAGATAACCAGATATAGAATATATAGATATACTTACCCCCCAACAAGCACGACGGTTAACAAATAGTTTTGACCAACGCTTATTCGACCCCCTAGATATCGAATCGATATATTAGATATATTTTAAATTGATGATAATGGCCATATATTTCATATAAAATAATAAACTCTACAAGCATGTTAGTCTGTTAGATAGTTAGGCCGTAGTTAACGATACCAGTTGGAATACGCTTGGAGACTCAACAGAATGGGTACGATTGACAATGACATGCCCCTGAGAGTCTAAATTAATTCCGAAAGCAGGACAATACGACTCATTCTCAAACATCACTCGAAAGTCCCTGCGCCATGCCCTAGCAGAGCATGGTGAAAAGCTAGAAGAAGACGCCATTGACGAGCTTCTAAGAGCTTAAGACAGTCTATCAACTACCAGACGTTCAGTCCACTTTGGGCCACCTGGCCAATCGTTCGGAGATCACTGCTGTGGTCTTTTCGAATGGGATACAGGAGATGGTCACCAACTCTGTACGCCACTCCCCAGACTTGTCGCCTCACAGTGCCATGTTCAAGGAGATCATCACGGTTGATGAGTTGAGGCAGTTCAAGCCTGCTTCAGCAGTGTATGCCCATCTTGCCCAGAAGATGGGAAAATCGCTCTCCTCACAGACGGCGGACCTATGGCTGGTCAGTGGAAACCCATTCGACGTGATTGGTGCTAGGAGTTGTGGTATGCATGCCATCTGGGTGGATCGAGGTTGTCGGGGCTGGAAGTGATGCTGCTGTACCTGATCTACAGCCAACTGCCGTGATTCATGATTTGAATGACATTCTCACTGTCATTCAGTGATGAGGAAGCTAATATGAGAAGCGGTCCTGGAGTTGATTATCACGGTCACTAGCTGGAAGTGTCTGTATATCTGTTATTGGTTCGTCAATAACTCGGTAACACTACATTAGCCAAACTGGGCGACACGATCATATCCGGTATGCAATAATTCATCGTATATAGTTACGGTATTTCGCGCCAGGCATACGAGAGACCCGGCATGTAGCAGTAATATGCCCATACCGGCCCCATACCGAAGGCCACTCGTATCTTCTGCTGGGTCAAGGGATCAAATTAAAAGCAATCAATGTATTGATAGCTAAGACCAATTTCTAGAAGTTGCATATTGATGTCCCCAGTTGCTGGCCCAGGTATGCAAACCACATGGTCGGGTGGGTGTAGATTCGCATGTCAGGCAAGGGATAGAGTGAGCCAGGGTGGATTGATTCCACTGGATGGGATCAATAAAGCCCATTCGAGACGAGGAATGGAAACTCTAAGAATGTATGGACCATGAATTCGCCATTGAATTGAATTCCAATTGCCCCTGCGGCCACGAGGGGAGCGTTATTTGCACGATTTTCGAGTATTGATAGCCTAACATAGCAGAATACAGAAGCCGTCATTATGCCTCTGGAAGAGAAACGAGGACAGCCACCTTTGGGCCTGCCATCCTGGATTGGGGCGGGTCCCCTGGTCTGGCAACAAGATCGAGAAGTGCTTGGTTGATTCAAGACATAGACCTGACCTCACATTCCCGAGGAGCTCTAGCATACCAGCCTTCATTGAATGAATGCTTGTGGCGATGCATAGTGCTATTGGAAGAAAGATTATTAATATAGAACCTATCAGAGCTGTCTCAAGTAATGAGCTTCGTGTGTTTACAAAGCAGTATGATTTCGCTTCTACAATTCAATATTCCGATACAAAACTCGGTGTAAGAAGTCTATAGCCTCAGAGTCTGCGCACTATCCAAGAACAGACTATCTCTCGCATGCAAATTAATGTAGTCGTAATCATTCCAACGGAATTACACATAGCAAGAAAGGATGTCTCGACTGCATCGGTACGAAGAATATCTGGCCAGATGCGTTTTCAGAATCATTTCAGGAATGCCCGCTTACACTGTTTCACATAGTCATGCTCAACAGTCAACCCTTGAGAGTGGCTGTGAAGCTCACAACAAACGTGGCCTCAGGAATGCAGCCGGGAGGCAAATACTTCATCTCGAAACCACAATGGCACACGTGCGCTCGGGCTCTGGGGAATGGGGATGTGGTGGGGCAAATCTCTCATGGCTCGGATATTCCCGATCACCACTTTGTGTCGATCGATGACAATCTAGACAGCCGCATTTTCAATCGATTACATCGTTGACGCGGCCGAAGCAATGAGATGGCGATCCACGGACGGGCTACCCGAGGATAGACGGAGCCACCGCACTCTAAATGGCAGCACATGAGTGACACTGCCACAGGAGAACATGAGACGCCAGAGCTCACCCGATGCTCATGAAACAGAACCATGGGTGGCTGATGGTCAGACTGTTGACCACATGGGCTGTGTTTATTACGGCCGGACAGGCGTCTGCCGTCATTTATTATCGCGTTTGCCGTGACTGTGGTTCTGCCTCCACACATGCAGATAGAAATCTTCAGACACCAAGATGGACAATCAATCAAATTCTCCAATAGCGGTGATAGCGGTCTGTGTCGGATCATTTCTTATTGTCGTTGTTGCAATGCTGTATGAGACCCGATCTGCCAGTCCTTTGAAGGGTCAACGGTGCCGAGGTGAAGAGGGAAGCACATCAGCTAATGACTTATCAGAGGGGTTTTCATACAAGTCCGCCGAAATGCAGCTCGTGCGTCAGCCTCAACTGTCATAAAAGAAACCAAGCATCAGTCAGACACGGAAATGCTGCAGAAGCTCGAGTCTCTCTGTCCGACGAAACCGTATGACGAATGGATAGAACACACTCAGATTGAGCAAGACTTGTCTGATCGCGCTTCAACGCATTTCACATGGTATATTGATCATTTTCTCACTCTTTCTCAACCGTCGACTAACAACTATATCAGTTCCATGTGTCTGGAAGATGTAAATGGGACAGATCTAATGCACGTGTTGTCCTGTCGGCACGTGTATCACGCACACTGCCTGGAGCAGTGGTTCCTTGGGCGTCACTTTTTGTGTCCTCTATGTAACCGAGCCTTCTTCGAGCAGAATGAGCCAGGGCCAGATAACGTCTAGTCTCACGGATTTTGTATATATTATGAAATATGCTCATACTCAAGTGACGTTCCCATTATCTCGTCAGATCGAAACCTCCATGACAGGCCCCGTATACACCTTCCTCGCCCGCAGCACATAGTACAAAAGTGCCAGCAGAATAGTCCCCACAGTACCAACCACACTAAAGTTCATCGTCGTTTTGTTGACTGACATCTGAGAAGGCCAGAAACTGAAGAACACGACGATCACCATGTAAATCACCGCGTAGGTGTTGACCGCAGTGCCCCAAATCCCCGGCACATGGAACGGGCCCCAGGCCAACTTGGCACCGGGAACATTGATGACCCCGTCTTCTCCATGGTCGTATTGCGAGATGGCGCCCGTGCATCGCCGGTAGAGAAGAAGACTTCCGACCATGAGGTAGGAGAGATAGAGACCAGAAACGGCCATGGAGACGACGGCGTTGAGGGCGACGCTGGAGCCGATGTTGATGAGGCCGAGTAGACAGCATACGGTCATTGTGAGCAGGATGGAGTACGTGGGGAGGCAATTGATAGGGGAGACCTGAAGAGGCAGCATGTCAGTGATGGTCCTTCGAGGTCCACGGGGTGAGGATATACCTTGCTCCAGATGCGCCATCCAGGCACAGCCCGGTCACGCGCAAAAGACCAGAACTGACGAGATGTTGCGGCGAGCATTCCAATCACCGAGCAGACGCCAATAATCAATAAAATCGAGGTCATTCCCAGGGCACCCGCAAGTGAATCGGTAGCCTGGCGGAAAATCTCCATATACGGATATCCAGTGGGAGTTGCCAGGGCAGCGTCGAGATCACCCAGACAGAACAGTACCGCAATCAACATGCTGAATCCGAGCGCTCCATTAATGAGAACCGACAGGAGAATAGCCCTCGGGATTGCCACAGATGCATTGCGCACCTCCTCGGCCATCTGTTCTGGTCAATAATCCAATCTTCTCAAGAGGGTTGAAGAGTCCATACGTGCACCGCAGCATCGCCACCAGCAAAGGCGAAAACGCAACCTGTCATTCCAACAAACCATGAGAGACCCTGAGTGGGAAATCCGCCACTGTTGACAAATTCGAGGAATACGTCGTGCGAGGACTTATGGTCGGCCATGTAGGTCATCGGGATGAGAATGGCAAAGAAGCCCAACAGATGAACCACCAGGATGACCGTCTCAAGCCGGGGGAGCAACTTGCCTCCGACCACGTTGATTCCCAACGCCAGCAGGACTGCCGCCCACATGATAAGGGTTCCATGCCAGGGCTTCGCCTGGTAAAGTTCGTGACCGAGACGGACGGCGCCTTGGATCTGAGTCCCTGCAAGAAACGAGGCCGAGGCAAATGCGGCCTGCCACCCGATGACGGTAACCCATCCTATGATGATGAGGTCAGTAGTGTCAATGATGATTCGATTGTATGCCTACCAGTCATGTAACTCAGGAACTTCATGAGATGCGGCGGAGCAAGCATTGCGCACCAATGGTATTGGCCTCCAGAAGTCGGTGCCCTTAGGATTGTCAGTATATAATTCCAATCCTTGGATTGCAAGATGTGTAACATACATTGAGGCCAATTCAGATATTACCACAAAGCAGCATGCGGTTCCTGTCCACGCGAAAATAAAGGCGTAGACTGCGCCTCCTGGACCGCCACTGAATGCTGTTAGCTTCGACCCCGTGTCATCTAGTTTGCATTACCAACTTTGATAGAGGCATGAGCAAAGTACTATAAAGGAGAATTTATTAGTTGCATGATAGGTCCGCGAGGGGTTAGGAATCATACTTGAACAATCCCTCCCATGTCGCAAGAATTGTGCAGCTGAACCCGAGTGTGGATAGGATGCCGAATGTTCGCTAAGACAAGGTCAGATTAAGAAACAGTTGAAGACTAGCAGCTTATTTACCTTCAGGACTGATTTCTTCCCCAGTCGCGCCAGATCGGTGACATCGCGATCATGGCTGTGGAACTCTTCGTTTGCGGAGACAGCGCGATGCTTGAGTTGGTGCGACTCCATGTTTGCGATATCACGAAACTGGGGATTAGCAATCGAACTTAAGAGCTGCTGGAAATTGTCACCATGAATGTCGGGAATGCTTCATTTTAAGGTCTAGGAGTGAGGAGAAGTGGGTTGCTAGACAGAACGCAAGTTGCGCAGACCAATCTGGCCACCGTCGAAACACCTTCCGTTCAGGTTCTAGTCCTGAACGCAAAGGGAGGCCTTCTTATGGGTGGGAAGTAACCCCGACTGAAGCCGATATCGATGGTGTCTTTCTAATTTACGATCCCTGTCATCCCCCTGTCTTGCGGGTCATTCACGGGGGTTACAACCCAGGGATAGGATCCAGGAGTTCACACTTGATGCCTTTGACGTCCAACGATGGTATACCACCACAAATCCGGTATTATAAAACCCTATCTGCTTCTACAATTGGATGCTGAAATATCCGACTGCCGAGTACTCGATTGATCACAAGGCTGAGGATATGCTTCTTCGGTCTCGAATTCTTGTCCCGCCCACCGACCCGAGCCAAGGCACCATTTAATCCTGATCGCTGGATAGACTTCGCTAGACCGTTTACTCTTGAAACTAGTCCTTCTATCAATCGGCGTCGGGTGCTGAAACCAGTTAGACCACGGTCAATCCACCGTCTGGAGTCCACTCCTATTACGTGACGTCTCTTGGCGCGAAAAGGGTCCGGCCAACAATGTAACCTTCCTCCGTATCTTTGCAAGGATGAGAAAATTTTTGTCTCCGATGGTCGCATGCTCATAATGCACGAGCCAGGATCTGTGCCGTGCGTGTTTCACCAAGAGCAGTTGACGGAATTCCGTGTGTATGCTGTGCTTGTGCCTGGGATTCGCCTTGAGGGCTGTACGTGTAGATCCCACGACGCTCGTGGTAGTATATGCATGCGAGACATCTTCACATAGCTTCTGGGTGTAGGGGACAAGAACTTTGGATAAGGTCAAGTGAAGAGGCCTAAGGACAGAGATCTGAAACGGAGAAAATTTATTCTTCGTAATATGCGTCGCCAATGCAGAACGTACACGAGGATGGCACGGCAAGGATGAGATCCCTGTCCCTCCCTGGTCACAATCAAACTTTCGATGTTTCTATCAGCTCAAAGTGGGCTCGGGTGAGGTCTGCTGAGGATTGGCATTGATTTCGACGTTAAATGTCAAGGACGTTTCTGCTTTCATCTCTTATCATGTCATCCATGCCAGACTGCCTGTCCTTTTTCCTGACATGAATGCCATTGTGGGCGACAAGCGCTATTGAGTAGCCGGCTTTGATCGACTGCCTGCAGGGCATGACTGGCAGATATGGGGCGATTCGCCAACTCCGATACCCGAGATCCTGCCGTCAATGTCACCAACTGGTTTCTCGTCGTTGTTGCCGGTTTAAGCGTCCTTATTCGATTGGGGACGAAGTTCTGGATCTTTCACAGATTGACCAGCGATGACTACCTGATAATCGTATCTTTGGTATGTTTATGAACGTAAAACCCAGGAGAATTAAGATCTTATCTCAGTTTCAACACAGGCATTTTGCATTGCGCAATCTGCGGCCATCTCGACAGCGGTATCGCACGGATATGGCTATCATTTCGCGACAATCTCGAGTCAGAATTTTGACAACGTCATGAAAGTATGTGATTGTGACGGCATCTGCCGTCTTGAGTCCGGCTAACCTTGTCTCCAGTCACAATATGCCGCCTACATCCTGTATATCGCAAGCCTCTGCCTTTCCAAGCTATCGCTCTCGACGTTTATTCGCAGCTTGACTCCGGTGCATAAAGATCATTTCCAGGCAGCCGTTCTGCAGGGGCTTATTGCGGTCCTGGGAGTGGTTGGCGTCCTTGGTACGGTCTTTCAATGTCGTATGCCCCGTCCATGGGACTATTGGCATGGGCGATGCTTCAATTTGGTAGCCACACTGTCTTTTTAATAGCAGTATTCCATCCACTCAGCACTGACTCAGGCTAGGCCGCTTGGAATCACTTCCTTTCTGTGTCGAATATTGTTACGGACTGTATGATCATTGCACAAGCATTGCTCTTAATTGCCGGCATCCAGGCGACGTGGAAGAAAAAGGCCGTGTTTGCAAGTATATTTCTATCAAGACTCCTGTTCGCACTACACAGGTCCCTTTTGGAGAAATGGCAATAACTGACCTCTGCATGCAGCGTGATCATAGCGACAATTATCGAAATCGTCTTCTCCCGCGACGTACGCCATTCCACCGATCCTACATACGACTACTGTCCCACTACGATTGTATCGCAAGTTGTACAATGCGCGAGTATAGTCACGGCGTGCTGGGGCCAACTGAAGCCTTTCCTCAATCAGCTCAAGTCCAATGGTCTGCGCATTCAAGGGGTGGAATATCAATATTCGACTGGGAAGGGACAATCGTCGCGGTCATACGGCCGATCTGGGACAAACCATAGCCGGGAGGAGCATCATGAACTGGTCCCAGTGGCATCAGGACAGAATCTCACCACGGTGTCGGCGTCTCCGGCATGGGATGCGGATAGTCAATCCAGCCAAACTGGGATCATCCGCGAGACGCGGACTTGGGTTGTGACTGGTGATGAAGGACATCCGGAGCATAGGTAGTGAAATGGGCTTCTTCTTTGGTAACTCAGGTCCGGGTTGGTCATAAGGAAACTGAACTATGACCATAATTGCCCGGCTCTGCTAATGAGAAATGGAAAAGTGTTTCAAAAATACATACAGAATAACTTTATTATCGGCCTTTTCTGCCGAAGAGTCATTGGTGGCGTCTAGAATTTTCCAAGTCATGATCTGGGTATAATCCTAATAATCCCGACCATGTTGGAATAGCATCATGCCACGCCTAACATGCCATCGTCAAGCCACATCACCCCATAACATAAAAAACGACCAGAGGCAAGAATCCTGGAGGTTCTATAGCAATATATAAAGCAGTTCGAATGGTCTCCTAGAGAGAACTAATCGACAATTCAACATAGCAATATCTGCGTACACATTTGAATCCACCATCAATATCGCCCTCATACCGTTACCATCATGGGCTCCAACGCCACTACTGAACAACTGTTCCACATTCTTTTAACAACTAGCCACCTTCAAAAAAATCCAAACAACGTTGTCGAAAAGGTCCGAATCCCGGGCACCTACACAAAGCTCCAGGCAGCCAAAGCTGCCGCATACCGCTGTCTGTTTGACGCGGGCTACGAAAAGGAGTGGTTCACCACGTACGAGACCAAGCCGGAGATATTTGAGAACAGAGACCTTCCCGAGCGATCTGGATTAGCCGTCTTTGCTGTCGCACCCGACGGAACAGAATTCCGGGTTCATATCATCACGACCCCGAAGGACGACAAGCTCATCGACGAGGTCATTGAAGGCCACATCACCAAGCCATTGTACTACGTAGTACAAGCCAATGTTGAGTACAGCGCCGATGAGGGCAGCAGAGTGCGCGATATCGATATCGAGGGAGTCTTCCTGACTTACCAGGAGGCAAGAGACCTAGCCAGCCGGGTATTGCTGTCCAAGGAGGATGCAGTCACCAAAGAGAGCTTTGCCGAATACACTGAAGCAGCATCTACGGAAAAGGACTGTGGATATGGAGAGAATGTCGTTGTTCGAGCTGTGTCGGAGTATGGGACGAACTATTTGATTTCGGTCATCAAGAATCAGGAACTGGAGGCCGTACATCTGGCTGAGGCGGCTATGAAGATATTGTAATGATCTGTTGGTCTCGCGGGTGCGAACATTCTGTATGTGTTCTAGCCAGACAGTCTAACGAGTGTAATCAAGCTTCAAATTGATGCACCAATGCTTCTAATGCATGCTAGCTCTTCTTCTCGGACTCTCTTGGAAATCCCAAACCAGCCAGAGCTTTTGTTGATCCGACCTGTTTCCAACGATCCAACTCTTCTTCACTCTTTAGCCAAACAGAGCCCATCATTCCGGCCGCATTGGCGGAGATGTCCTCAAAATTGTTACTGCGTCTGGGGATGACAATGATCCACTCTCGGACCAACGCGACGTTATGTGGAAAGTACCCTTCATTGTTGGAGTCGGACGAGTTTGCAGGACTTGCTTTCGCCTCTGCCAACAGTTCCTGGTAGGATTCCGAGAGTTTCGAGGGATAGTCCGGATTTTCGAAATCTGGACCACCCAGATACCGCAGACCATACTGAAACGGAATCACCTCAGGGTCAAAGTTCGGGTCGTCCGGAAATAGATGGGCAGGGCGCGGCAAAATCTGCACATGTTTATGGTTCCTGCTTGCGCCTGCGATCGGCCCACAGTTGTATATAACAAGCTGACGTTCTTTAGACGAGCTCAGGACGCTTTGAATCGCCGCAAAGTCTTCCACGGTGAGCGGTTCATGCTGCCGCCGGTAGGAGTCGCATGTCAACAAGAGCAACTGTGGCCGGAAAACAGAAAATTTGTTGATTACGAGCAGATGAGTGTGGTTAATAATGGCGATCAGCAAGTTTGGATCATCGTTGGCAATATCACTGCCTGGTCCAAAGCCTTCGGGTGATGCACTATCACTGGACTGGAAATTGTCACCAATAGAAGCAGGCTTTGTGCGGAGTGAAGGACTGATATGAAACTCAAACTGGGATTGATATAATGTTAGTGGATGTCGATTTAATGCCGGAGTTTCTCACAGGAAAGCCCGCATTGTTCAGCCGTACTGTTGTTGGCGGGGAATAATATATGATCTCTCGAGCAACCAAGTCATCGAACCTCGCCAGAAGAGCATCATAGTCAATTGCAGTCGCCATGGCACGTGGAAGGCAGCAGAACTGGGATTGGTGGCGGCCAGGATACAAATATGGAGTTCCTGACTGAGATCGAGAAAAGAAAAGAAACAAGGGCAATAAGAACAATGATACCAAGACCGGGGCTACGTTCCAACCAGGCTTAGTGCTTACTACGTGTCCATATCCATATCCATTCGATTTTTCCGCCTCCTGGCGGCTGCGGATTGAAAACCATGGCTCACTTTCGCGCATTTCTAGGGTCAATCCATATATCCAACCGTTTCACCCTGCTGATCCGATGTCTCCGGAGTTTGAAGACATGGTCTCCTAAGATGATTATTACTCTGAGGCTAACTCGCAAAGCCGAGAACAGGACGACATTAGTTCTCTCTTGGCATGACCAGCTGACAGGCAGCTGGGCCAGATAGGACGATCTCTCAGTTGGTGGCGTATCCTGCAGCATCATTCAGACAAATGGCGCATGTCAGATTGGCCGGACAGAGTAATCTCTGCCGAGCTCAAGCGCATTGGCCTAGTGATGAGGCCCATCCTTGTGGGAAGAAGATGAGCCGTTTCTGCGCAATGTCGGCAGATATAGTCTGGAGTCTAGACGAGGAGATCCCCACTTTCTGGACAATATTTAAGCTTGTTCAGACAGACAGGATTGCAGATCCACAGCAAGATGGGCGATAACCAGCCCATAAGCACCGACCATGAAGATGCCAACTTCTCTCGGTTGGAGGCGTCATTCTCGCAGACAAAGGTGCTTCCTCGAAGGAATTCGATTGAGATGAAGGATATCTTTCGGCATGCCCAAGCAAGCGATTTGGAAGCGAAAGATCTCGACTTTAACTTCTGTTTAGACCGCAGCAATTATCCTCTTGGTAATCTCCAGTCCCTCCAGGATGTCTTTCCAGCGGTGCAGCATGACACGCATTTGAAAAATCCTGGGAACTTTTCTGACGAGACCGATATCATGTGTCTGGACGTGAATGAGAACACCTCATGTCAGTCAGAACGATCATCGTACAGTCATTGATCAATTACTGATACTGCAAAGCATGGCATACGCTCGACTCTCGAGGATTGACTCAACTCCTTGGGGTAGGAGCACTTGTTCCACCAGGCCAACAGAGCTGATGGGCAGGTTAGAGTATTCCAAAACCTTCGGACACGACTGCACGCTTTGGACATTCAAAACCTTCAAGGCTACTTGCATTGTACGTTCTAGACTCTCTGTTCCCTTCGCTCACTGACAGTCAATAGCTTCGTACCTCTCATTCCAGAGAAGCATACTTCGTTCGCGAGTCGGATATCCATGACTCAAGACAACACGATGGACCTTTTCAAGTACTTGAACGCTGATCCGTCATTCATTATGAACTTGCTTGGGAGACCAGACTACTGGGCGCCGCAAACACGGTGGACGTCCGATAGCAATAGCAACATATTGGCTTGTGGTCCGTTACATCTGTTGCATTTAATGAGTCGAAATTGGCTGACATCCACAGACTTCTATTGTCAACACCCCCGCTGGAACTTGCATTTTCAAGGGGCACCTTTATCAGTATATGTACGCTACGATGCGGCGTTGCGTCTCACAAGCTATATCATATCCCACAAGGAAGGAGACTCGAATATCCAAGCCCTGCAGAACATTTTCAACCTCGCCATCAAAACGGCACCGGCAGAGCAAAGGACACGCATACTGCTCGACGATCCGTTCGACCTCGCCGTCATCCTGTCCACATTATCCTTCGAGGCCTCGAAATATCACGCGCAACGATTCCGGCGATACATGTGGACCCAGATCAACAAGGTCGACGACCATCTCGCGGGGCTTGAAACCAACGACCGCCGCAAACTAGGGGAACTGACAAAGGAGCTGCAAATCATCTCCCAAAACGCGGATTCGCATCTGGGCAATGCCGACGTCGCCATTATCACAGCAACTGGCATCCGCACGGCGCATGCTCGCTTGCATGAAGCCATGGGCAGCCCGGCTCGGATGTTTGAGCGCGCGTCCGACTCGATCACATATGTTATTGAATCCATGCAGAAGCAAAAGATATGGTTTCTCAACTACAAGAACCGCAAGGATAGCACGATGGCGCTGGTGTATAACCTTGTGACGCAGCAGGATGCAGCCAGTAACATACAATTGGCGGCTAGTATGAAACGAGATAGTACCAGCATGAATGCGATTGCTGCGTTGACTATGGTCTTCCTACCTGGGACATTCATCGCGGTGAGTAGCCTTCAGACAGATTCTAGGATGGAATGGATCATGGTATTCTAATCTTTGTTTTACAGACAATTCTAGACGTTGGGAGCTTCAGTCGCGGTGATGATAACACAGGGTTTGAATCGACATCGGTATGGTGGCTATGGGCTGCAATAACAGTGCCTCTCACGCTGGTTGTCATGTCCAGCTGGTGGCTCTATAAGAAGCGGAACGATAAGGTGCGCCCAGCACCGATGGCTAAGGAGGGGGATGATGGGATCCCACCGAAGAAGAGAGGAACGTTCCGCTCTATGAGTTTCTCGTCATGGAGCCGACGAGACAGTGCCCCTGCCAAGGTCTGAGGCCGTGACTGTGTCAGTAGCCTATACTTTGGTCCCGGCAGATGCTGTGCCGATTGATGGCGATGTGATAGATTCGAGCACCAAGATATCACCATAATGGGACTTCCATCAGTGATGCTTCCAATGTAACATAGGTTATTCCACCAATGAACATGATAATTCGTCACGCTGTGCCAGTGAGGACTAAGGCAGGCGGGTTCCTCTGGGCTCTCTAAACAGGACTGACCTGTGCCTACTCAATGGAGCCTCTTACGGTATCACCAGAATCGTATCCACCAATGATCTTATGACCTTGCTTTTCTACGGCGCTGGTAAAGCTCCATTTGACGTGTAGTTCCATTTCATCGGTTGAATGCGACCTCGTAACTTGCAACACAGATTTTGCGATCTGTTCCCTGGTGACTCGGGTTACAAAGAATTGAAACCGTACCGACAGGATCGCCCAACAGCCTCACTTCCACATCGGATAGTCTGCAAGACTCAGGCAGGGGCGGGAACAGTATATCTTCCTGGCCCGGAGGGCAATGCAGCTCAAAGTCATCCACCGAATCTAGAAGCAGATAAAAGTCGACCTCCTCAATCTCCATCACCTTTCGCGCCACGAATGCCAGGATCTGCGAATCCCAGAAGCCTTCTCTGTGGAAGCTGCCTTCCAGCAGCCGGATAGCATGGAGTCGAATCCGGTGCACGCGACATTTGATGGCAATATAGTATAGTGGAGCAATCCAGCCCAGATCTCCAATCGAACGGGTCATGAAGAACTGGGCCGGCCGAGAGCCGAAGGCAGAATACATCGAGAGGAATTCCCAGAGCTGTGCCAGTATGGTGATCATTTCCAGAAATTGGTCTGTATGCAGGTCAAAGACCATCTCATTGCCAGGATAAAGACAGGTTGCCGTCATGATAGTTATCATAGTGTGATATGTGCGAAGCAGCCCGTAGATTTGCGCCTGATCTTTCCGCATACTTCCTTGGACTGTGTTTTGGTATGTGTTCAGCCACCAGGTAAGATTCTCATGGATGGATCGCTGACGGTGAAGCAGCTCTGCTGGGGGATCGCTCTCTGTACAGAATTGTTCACGAACTTCTCCATTCAAGCGAAAAGCTTTTCCCATCAGATGGTGAAGCCAAGACCACGCCTCTTTCACAGAGGGGAATGCTGATGATTTGCATTCCAAGAAGGGGATCTGGAGTCGTAGAGAAGAGCCACGGTGGACTTGCTTAAGTAGCTCGAGTTGAATGTGCAACCTCGATAGTGCTTGCACAATCCAGTCATCAATATACTCTTGACTCTGCTCTACAAGAACGTCGCCTCTTCTTTTCAACAGACCTGACCCTTCCAGGAGGTTTAAACCCTGTTGAAGGTGGATTCCCGCCGATGCAAAATGGCCTCGAAGCAGCTCTAGCGCAATGAACAGAATGCAGACGATGAGAGCTATCCGAAAGGCAGTCCGGTCCTTTGCCTTGAAATGAGGCTGCAGGCAATTGATCGCCTTACTATACCGGGTCAATGTTATCGTTTCCACGTCCCCTGCCTTGACACCACCATCGTTCAAAATTCCTTGCCTGTGGACCGAACTCAGAGCAAGGATGGCGTGCAGCACTGCGGGTTCGCTCATACCGGCCTGTATGACAAAGCCGCTCCAGAATTCCGAGAAAAATGAGCCTGACATTTTCGATCCAGTACGATCTTTGAACCACTGAAGATAGCGGCTCTCTTCATTGGTGGTCCTCGTAGACAGTCGGAAATCTGGCATTGGTCTGACGACAAGCGCAGAGTTCACAGCGACAGCGGAAGGTTTCGTAGGCCTGTTGGAGTTTCCGCCACCCCAGATGCCATATCCATCACAGGTGCGGCCCGTCGAAAGACACCGACGGCACGCCGGATAGGCCTCATCACATTTGACCTTGCGAATCCTAGAAAGACCTCAGCAACACGCAGGCATGGTTTCGGCAAAGACTTACCGGCATGTCTGGCAGCCGGTCCTGACTCTTCTTTTACCCATGCGCCAAGCAATCACTCCTATTGTCAATTTGATTGCTAAACCACAGTGCACGCTCACATCTACAGGGAAAAGAGGGCCTAAGCTGATGTGAGACGAGATCATGAACTCCTTTAGGTAGCCGAGGGCCCCACTTAGACTGGCTTACCCAATCCACAGATCCACACCCAACCCACCCAATCCACGCTATGGGTTGGATAAGGGTTGGCCCTGATCCAACCCACATGGGTGTGGATAAACCATTTGGGTACACGTGACTGGCAGAATTTAGTGGGTATATAGGTTCTGTGGTTTATCCATAATATTCTCTTAATAGGAGATTATTCCACCTACTAGAAGTAGTATAGTTTGAAATTATATGCTAATTATAGGTAAAAGAGGTTATCTATAATCTAACCCATATAGATTAGGAGGTGGATAACTAATATCATAGGTTTCCCTAAACCCATATGGGTTGGGTTGAACCCCATGTGGATTAACCCATATCCACCCCACAGCCAGTCTAGCCCCACTCGCTAATTGCCGCCTGTGGGGTCCCCATTGGAGCTTTCTGCACGGTTTTGATTGGCTTACTCGGCTGTTCTTACACTTGATTGGACATCCCTAATCATAATTTCAAGGCCCATCCCGAAAGGGTGCCCGGGATACTATCGCAGACTGGCAGTTACGGCCATTCCTGGAAGATTATAATAGGAAAGCCTTTCGCTCTGTCCTTAATCTGGTTGGTCATTTAAGGCAATAGGCTCACTCGGCAATGTTGTACTCCGATTGGCTGTTCAACCTCCCTATACTCAAAGCAGCTATTAGCGAGCCTGCGCTTGATGGCTCAGGACTTGGGAGGCAGTACGGTCCTTGTGGGAAGAAACTGGACGGTTCTCCATGATCCGCCTAGGGACGGTAGCTATAAGTATCCAGCATGATTCCGACTTGGTCGACCTTGCCAACATTCGAAACAGATCAATCCAGTTTCATTTCGTCAGCATATATATACAACATCACTTATCGCTCCTTGCTATGTATTCCAATACGGTTGTCAACCGCCAGCTGGGCAAAAACGGTCCAACTGTTCCGGCCCTGGGACTCGGTCTGATGGGAATGTCCTTCTGGGTCTATGGCTCCATTCCCAGTGACGAAGAACGATTCAAGGTCCTCGATCGTGCCGTCGAGCTGGGAGAGACATTTTGGGATACATCCGAGTACGTCTTCAAGCACAGTCAATGAGATAGCCTCTAATTGCTGATTAACTCTACCTATACAGTCTCTATGGGGACAATGAGGAGCTCTTGGGCAAATGGTTCCGACGGACTGGAAAGCGTGACCAGATCTTTCTCGCGACTAAGTTCGGCTTTGTTCAGGGAGGAAAACCCCACGAGATCAACAGCTCTGCCGAATATTGCAAGAAAGCTTGTGATGCGAGCCTCAAAAGATTGGGGGTCGATTCAATTGACCTTTGTTAGCACCTTAACCCCGCCTACTGACAGAGGCCAGTATTGCTAATTACTGCCTTAGACTATTTGCACAGTCCCAACCCTCAGACTCCCATCGAGGAGACTATGAGAGCCATGGCAGAGCTTCAGGCGTAAGGCACAATTCAATAACGTTAAAGGTCTATGCACTCATTCAGTAACAGAGAAGGCAAGATCAAGCACATTGGCGTGTCATCGGTGTCTTCCGCAACCCTCCGGCGCGCATGCAAGATCGCCAATGTTGTGGCTGTCCAAACCGAGTATTGCGTCTTCTCACGCGATATCGAGGGCCCAAGTGGCACAAACCTCTTGGCAACCTGTCGAGAACTGGGGGTGACGCTGGTGGCTTCCTGTCCCCTTGGACGCGGGGTCATAACGTCCACTTTCAGCAGGGGTGAACCAGTCGGCAATAGTGAAGATAAGCGACCAAAAGTCATACCCAAGTTCTTAGAAGAGAATCGCGAGCGTAATGTCAAGGTTGCCAGTCAGTTCGCGGCGCTGGCTGAGAAGAAGGGATGTACTGTATCGCAGCTGGCACTGGCCTGGCTGCTGAAACAAGGGAACGATATTTTCGCCATTCCAGGGACGAGAAGGGTCGAGTACTTGGAGGAAAACTGGGCTGCTCTCCAGATTTCACTGACGGACAGCGAGGAAGCCGAGATCAGGACCTTCGCGGAGGAGAACGAAATGGTTGGTGGCCAAGTCCCGGGCCAGTTCGTGGAGTATCTCTATCGCGATACTGTCGAGGAGAGTTGATGGGAGCTATACTTCGATCCATGTTGAATAGCCAGAGAATCATTTACTAGTTTCATATTGTTATCGATTGTATTCTACAAGTCACCCCTGCCAATCAGCAGCATTCTGGATGGTGTCATGACCCAATCCAACCCGCACGGATATGGGTTGAACATGCCTAACCCACATTAGGTGCATATGACCTGGGGCCTTAGAAGAGCCATTCTTATACATTTGTAGCGCTATGATATCCAGGACTACTCTTCGATCCAACTCTAGAGTAGCATCTGAGTTTTGGTCCTGTGCTGATGTCTGCAGCGATACTGTGAATTTGAAACATAGGCAATCCAGTGTGGACTAGGACCACCCAGTTCGCTAATAATGCAGATCAGTGGCCCTGTGCCTACCTCAAAATCATGCAGAGGCTAGCTGAGGATCAACATGTGTGCCTAAATCACTTCATGCTGAAATTAACCTACTCTGTGTATTATTCTTTACCCATTGATCAGAGTACGGTATGGGTTTCCCGCAGCTATATTTGATCTCAAACGTCTCTCCATCAGAGTGATCTGCAAGAAACTATTCTGGCTTATGATGATGACGTCAATACCACCCTCTATTATTACAGATCATTTGACATGCTTGCATCTGACTAAGTACCACTAAGTGGCAACTTCTTGAGGTGAATAATTGTCAGTGATGGGGTGAGGGTTAATTGATGCAAGCTAAGGTATCTATGATATTCCCAGCCAGCCACATCTATGTGCATTACGACGGTGTATTCATTACCAAGAGAATTCAAAAATGCACTACAGTATAAGTAGTGGTGACCACTGACGACTATGTTGATCGACAAGGGGTGATATAGGCGTTCGAGGAGTTGTAGTCTCTAGCATACTATTGGTTCTGAGATATAGTTTGAGTAGCGGTCTGGGGTAGAAAGGTATCTAATTAGTTCCCAGTAGTACGGAGTACTCCGTACTGCATTTCTCAACTGTCTAGACTAGTGGGTCTTGGAGATCAGCCAGCCACAAAGGGTCGGGTCGACGGTACCCTTCAGGTGCATTAGATTTGCGAGTTACACGACTACCAATCTAACTGCTAGGATGAGTATCACGATCGTGTCTTGATATCAGCTTCTGAGACCATCCCTACAATCTGCTTAGACGGGAGTCGAGCTGGACATGAGGGGAAGGGGGGAGCAAGACATTGGCTTTTAGGTGCCTCGCTACTCAGACCTTGATCTGGTTAGACCTTAGTGTGGTTAGGCTGAACCGGCGAGCTGAAAGGGCCAGGATATCAATGTGTTGCAGCAAAAGTTGCAAAGTACTTTGATTGTGGACATACCTGGAACAACCATCTAGCTACATGCTCCAGGCCATAATGGCTTCCATGTTGCATTGGTCAAGATGCAAGCTACATCATCAGATACTAAATTCAATTTAATAATCAATCAACACATGTGCGACTATCCTGATCTGTAATGATAGTAGCAGCAAGCATGTAACTCACATTCACATATACGTATCTCAGCAATGAAGCACAAATAATAGACCTCATATGATGTGTCCTAGCCTAGCATACAACTGAGGGGAAGTTCGAGTTATTATGATCTGAAGCACCTATCAGCAAACTAGCCTTGTATGCAGCCCTTAGCTAAAGTAGAAAGTCCTCTACACCAGCGCAGACAGCTGTATATCACAGCTAGACAAGCCTGCAGATGATTCCTCATTTGGTGATTGTAAGACCGGAATGGCCGAGATCGTTAGGTTGTGGTTGAGTTCTAGTACTATTTGTCATATTTGACGTCTGAAGAAGACTATTTGGAAGGAGCACGCCGTAATACCCTGTTTTAGTTACATTCACCCAGCATAATAATACCAGCCAGCCATTGCAGTGTAAACCAGACGTTGGATCAACTGGCCCAATGATATCTCAGCACACAAATGTACATGCATTACAAGCGCTTCTTAAGCCACAAATGCATGAAAAACACAGCTCACTGGTCTCAAACCACAATACTTGGGTAGATTGCACATTATGACAAAGCAAAGTCGAAGCGCAGAGGGATTTTGCTTCACGGGCAAATAAGTCATTCACCACCTTTTCCCCTCTCCTTATTGCCTCTGTTTCTGTATAAAAGGTCGTGACCGGTCCGCACATCAAGCTACAATCATAACCTTGAGCACTACTCAACAGCCATAGGACCTGAAAAGATACCCCAAGTTCCCGAACAATGTCTACCACTGGAGCACAGCAAGTCCTCTTCCGTAAGTTGGATGAAATGCTCCTTTCACCCCTGTTTCGACCTGACAAATATAGGCACCGGGATTGCCGCGGTCAATTCAATTAACCGTCTCCGTTTTTACTTCCAGGATGTCTATGGCAGTATTCGCGAGAGTCTCTACGAGGGTAGCTGGGCCAACGGCACCGAAAATAATGTCATCGGCAAGGCTAAGCTCGGCAGCCCTGTGGCCGCCACTTCCAAGGAGCTGAACAACGTATGTCATTATCTGCCCATTGGCTCTGCCCCGGACTGACTATATGGAGATCCGTGTCTACACCCTCACTGAAGGAAACACCCTCCAGGAGTTTGCCTACGACTCCGGAAGCGGATGGTACAACGGCGGGCTGGGCGGTGCAAAGTTCCAAGTTGCACCCTACTCTCGCATTGCTGCCGTGTTCCTGGCGGGAACAGATGCATTGCAATTGCGGATCTACGCCCAGAAGTCAGATAACACAATCCAGGAGTATATGTGGAACGGTGCGTCGAATCGTAAGTCCGTTGATGTCTTTTACTATCCTGCGACTTAGGCGACGGCTGGAAGGAGGGCACCAACCTGGGAGGTGCGCTCCCCGGCACTGGTATCGGAGCCACCCTCCTTCCGCTATACTGACTACAATGGCCCAAGCATCCGGTACGGCACCGCCATATGCAAACCTTGAATCCGGGAACACTTGCTAATAAAGGACACACACAGGATCTGGTTCCAAACTGACGACCTCAAACTCGTCCAAAGAGCCTACGACCCGCGCAAAGGCTGGTACCCGAACCTCCACACCATCTTTGACAAGGCACCTCCACGTACGGCCATTGCAGCCACCAGCTTTGGAGCCGGCAACAGTTCCATCTACATGCGTATCTATTTTGTCAACTCGGACAACACTATTTGGCAGGTCTGCTGGGACCACGGCAAGGGTTATCACGACACGCGAACCATCACCCCAGTCATCCAGGGCTCGGAGGTCGCTATTATCAGCTGGGGCAGTTTCGCCAATAACGGGCCGGATCTCCATCTGTACTTTCAGAATGGAACTTACGTTAGCGCTGTGAGCGAGTGGGTTTGGACACAAGCGCATGGGTCGCAGTTGGGAAAGAATGCTCTTCCTCCTGCTTAATTCTGTGTGAATTGTCATGTACTATAGACTGCCACGGGTGGATAGTAGCTAGTGAACGATGCTTGCAATCTTTTTCACCTCTATTAAGAGTAAATTAAGGCACATATAAGATCACAAGACCTATATTATGAGAAGCAGAAAAGGAGGATGATATGCATCAAACAAAAGTACATGTTTCATGGATCTGCATTTTTCTGCATTGGTGGATCAACCCTTATCCATCCAACTGGCTAACAGCACTATTTTTCTTCCCTAAATGGTCACGTGTTAAACCTATTTCGAGTTTAGTGTTTTCCAGTAATAAGTGCGCCAGGGGTAATATTTTTGCTCTTTGCAGAGTAGATCCAAACATAGTACCTTATGCACATCCTAGAATATTGACCTAGCCAATCAATCACGGCTATTAAAAGCCAGGACCTTTTGCAGCTGCACGTCAAAAGAGCTACCCACACGATCCGCGGTTTGATGTCCTCAAATGGCACAAAAAGAATTGACACTGCTACCACCAGACCTGATGGAGTCTCAATTATCCATAATTGACCTCCTGACAGCCATGTTCCCGTCACCTGGAGAGATCGACATACCTGCGTCCACCACTGAATGCATTGAAAAGCTCCGCAACTGGTGCGAGAACCCATCTGCAGCGCCCTCCAGGATTCCTTCAACGTTACACCTTGCAGTCTGTTTGCCGATTGCGGGGGGAGAAAAATCAATACAAGTCAACATATCAATCCCAGTCCAATGTGATGGTCCAGATATAGCACAGCCGCCATCATTGAGTTATTCACTACGGCAACCAGACTGGATGTCCAAAGCCGAGCTGGCTACGCTGGCCGCTGCAATGCCCCTAGATGACCTGTTCGAAGCTTTTGAATACGTTCAGGATGAAGCGCTGCGCTTCTTGGAGGCTCAGCGGGCTTCAAAATCTGAAACTACCAAGAACAGTTCCGGGCCGATCGTGCGAGTCTGGTTCTATTTCCCGTCTCTATCAACTCGAGAAAAGCGCAACGATCTTGTTAATCACGCCCCTGACTACTCTCTGACCGGCTTCGTGCTGGCCGGCAAGCCTGGTGTGTTGTGTCTAGAGGGGGCGTCGACGGATATTGACGGTTATATGAGCTTCATTAAGACACACTCCTGGGGCGATATCCCCAGCCATCAGAAAAAGGTCAGCGAGAGATATCGGGAGACGAAGGACGTTCAGAGAGTATTCTCTGGGATGGAGGAAATCACGGATTCATTAGGTGAACGAAGTGGCCACAGAGCCAATCGGGGCGATATGCAGGCATTAGAGACCTGGCTACAAGCGCGAGGGTTGCATGAAGCTTTTGACAAGGTGATATTTTAATATCAGCCGTTACGTTCACGAGGCTACTGGGAGTGTTACCTTGGAGCTCATCATATCTGTAGCATTATTCCTGGTCAAGGCGGTCATATCTGGAGGGCGGACATTGGGACCGAGGATAAGGCGGAGAGTGACCGAGATGGGAATAAACCACTGATTTTAGTGAGTCACCCGTACTTTTTCATCTCCTCCCGCAACCAACGCTTCCATCCGAATTGACCCAACTGAGGGTCATACATTCTCGCTACAATGACGATCATACATATGGGTTAGTATAATTCCAGTGCATCAATCAATAATCGTACTCATATAATCCAGTCCTGTTCAAGTTCCGTCCAGAAGTGACACAGGAGCACAAGGATACCTTTGTCCGCGAACTCAAGAAACTCAAGGACCTCGACTGTGTCAAGGGTCACCGGCTGGTTGTTGGTGGGCCGTCAATTACTGATCCGATCGAGAGAAGCAAAGGGTTTGAGATTGCACTGTTGAGCTTCCATGAGAACCGGGAAGCTTTGGAAGCATACCAGTCCAGCAAAGAGCATCATTGGTGTGTGCATCTAGTAATGGCAGCCGATGTGTTCGGGCGACGCTGACCAAGAGATAGGGTAACCAGCACGTACATGTTCCCCTACAAGGAGGATCTCATCCGGTTTGACTTTGAAGTTGCGCCGGAGGACGAGTATTTGTGGAATTTCTTGCCAATTGATGGTCTTACGCAAGGGTTAGCAAACGAATAAATTTAATCTACTTTTGGAGACAGTCAACTTTATTTTAAAGGCTCGAAACGTAGCGTCATGTCTGCTTATGTTGTGGTGTTGGGATATAGAGTACGACTTGACAGAGAGGACGCCTATGAGTATAAGCGATAATCTCCGCTATCGTATAGTCAGTGCTGTGACGCTAGAATGGACTACGGTAGTTATGGAACCGACTCAGGGGTTGAGCACCCTCTAGGATATGTTGCAACAACGTGTCGTAGTCCCAGCCCATAGCTGCTGCTGCCAAGGCAGTCAAGCTGGCCTGATCCTCCCGTCCTGGCAGTCCTGGACCGGTCATATTCTAAAACCGTTCAGTATAACTGCAGGCAGGAAGGTAAAAGCAAGGCTTACTGGCTGCATAGTGATATCGAACAGAGCGAAGTCGGATCCCAACCGGAACCGTCGCACATCTACCCGAATTGGCGCAGTGGCGCCAATTAGCCTGGCCACCCCTTCGCACTGTCGCATGAGCTTATTTTACGCAGAATCTTTCATTTGATCCTCCTACACCACGCCGGAGTTGGCAGTGCCCGCCACCATCCCATTATATGGAGCGATCCATCCGCATGGTTGAAACGCATCACTGCCACCATACTCCAGTAGTCTGGCCGAGAAGGCGTCAGCGGCATGACGGTGATAGTCGCCTCTTCTACTGCGAGGAACTCTTCGAGCATAATAAGCGGTGACTCTGCCAGTAAGACTTTGGCATGGTGTTGTAACTGAGCGGCGTCATGGCTCCCTCGTCTCCGTACTAGTTTCCCCATGATCGGATAACGATCGATCTGATCGACGATCTCGCGGAAATTATCCGGTTCAACCATCCACGCGCGAGGTAAGGTGAAGCCGCCGTTCGCGCAGTTTGTTGTTCAAGAAAGCCCGGCGGTTGCCCGACAACGTAGAGATCGGACGCCAGAGGAGCTAATCGGCTTGACGCCTGGAGAGGATGCGACGCAAGCAGGACTAAAAGGGCGCGGTCTGGCAGCGACAGCTAGATTTGCTGCCATTATGTCCTATTCAAATAATGCATTGTTCATAAAGAAGAGAAGGTGCTTCGGAGTCAGCTTAAAGAGCATGGTGGTCGTTGGCGTTGGAAACAGCCGAATACACTCCCGATATATATATATTGTTGGCCGACAAAGATCCCACCCTAGATCTGTCATAGAATATAAGGTATTCAAGGTTTATAGGGGGTCTACATCATCTGAATCATTTGATTGATTTCCATAAGAAGATGATACACGTGGCTTCTCTTGAACCAACTGTTCTTGAGATAAGTGGTTTTGTATCAAGCTAAGTACCAAAAAGATGGGCCATCTGGGTTGACGGCTCGCTCTTGAATCGGCATAGCGCACAAAAGGGTTAGAATTCATTCTTGAAACTCATGTGTCAAATCTACTCCTAGTGATGCAAATTAATTTTCTCCTTGCTAACCTGCCTAGAGCTTCCCAAGTGTCTCTCCGAGCTCCGCCGCACGGGATGTGGCGGCCTGTACTGCCTTGTCAACAATATCCTTGAAATTCAGCGACTCAAATGTCTGGAGGGCGGCGTGCGTTGTCCCGTTTGGACTCGTCACGTTCTTGCGCAGCTGAGCCGGTTCCTCTGACGACTCGACGAGCATCTTGCCTGCACCCAGGCAGGTCTGAGCCGCCAACTTTGTGGCCTGCTCCTTGGAGAGGCCCAGAGCAGTGGCACTGGCAACCAAGTGTTCCACCATAGCGAAGAAATACGCAGGTCCGGATCCTAGTCAATGTTAGATTCATATGTCATCTGCATGGAGACTCAAGATACTCACCGGACAGACCGGTCACCACATCTAGCAGTTCCTCCTTGTCAACCCACTCAGTGGCCTTGCTGACACTCTGGAGTAGAGCTCCGATAAGCTCCTTCTCCTCTGCCGTCACATCGTCGCTAGCCAGAAGACCCGATGCGCCTTCCTTGACTAGGGCCGGAGTGTTGGGCATGACGCGGACGATATGCGCAGTCCGACCATCGCTCGTCTTGAGCCACTCTTTCATGCTATTGAGCGTGATACCCGCCGCAATGCTGACGACCACAGGGAGTGATGTGCGCTGTGACCAGGCGGTGGCAAGCTCCTGACAGACATTCTTGGTGGTTTGAGGCTTGACAGCTATGACAACAATATCTGCGTTGCCTGCAGCTTCATCATTGGAGGTAGTTGTCTGCACGCCCAACTTCGCGATCTTTTCGCGGTTGACATCCCATGGCTCGGAGACGGTGATGTTGGCGGGGTTCATGTCCTGGCTCACGAGCCCTCCGATGATGGCCGAGGCCATGTTGCCACCGCCAATGAAGGCGAGTTTGCTCTGCTGTAAGGATGGCATTTTGAGATATGGGGTTTGATGTGTGATGTAACAGGCTGAGTTCTCTGTAGTCTGTAGTCTCTACACCAGATAAATGATGCAACTTTGCAGACGCGTCGGATCAAGGACGGCCCGATGTCGGCGGAGGGGTCTAGCCCCACCGGAAACGCGGGGTTGTCTTCTTCCCGGTGCCGGCCCGGTCAACACCAGTTATGGGGATATCTGATGCTTACTCCGTATAATGGGATTGAATGGCAACGAATCTGTCGTCAGTCAGTGATACCCTCCGAATACATGGATGGCGCCCGAGAGGTTTATATTGCGGCTCTGGTGTCTACAGGGTATCTTGCCACCGGTCTACTCGGTGACTGTCGTTGGAGCCTTCGGGATACCCTGAAAGGCGAGCCTCAAAACTGTCAATAAATCTGAAGACACGAAGGGAGGCAGTCATGAGACAGTGCTATGCTTGGGAAGTCGTTAATGGCAATGGCTGCATTTCCTGCTATATCGATATCCACTTATATTGCTTATAGTCATTATTTCCGTAGACTTAGTATGCTGGTAAAATTAGGCACGGATTACAACATTTGAGTGAATGTAGTCTGAGATGATTCGGAAAAGAAAATTATATTAGGGCAATAAATTAAACCATGTATAACTATGACAGCATAATACATAGCCTTGAAGCATTAAGGTGAAGTTATGCCACTATTCCCATTGCCCGCATCTTTCCGACGCTGGGAAGGACATTCGGCAGGGATACAATCTTGACGCAATCACTTCAACTGATCTCGAATCTCCTGGAACAGGTCGCGCCACTTTTCATTTTCCTCTTCTCCACTCTCCTTATCAAATGGATCCTTGTTGACCTCTTTTGCATCCACCAGGACCTCGTTCTGCAGCCTGACCGTTCCTGATGCCAGTTCTGGACCAAAGTCATCGAGCGAGTCCGGCAACAGATCAGGTCCACTTTCGTCTGCGCGCTTCAGATCCCTCCAAATCTTGACTTGAAATTCCTGCCCGGGACGGAAGAAAAAGTCCTTTCGATCGTCGGTGTTCTTGACTGCAAATGGCTGCATCGCTGCCTCGGGAACACCTGTCAGGCAAAGAACCGCTCCTCGTGCGAGCTCCTCGTCCTCCAGATCGGCATCCAAGGTCAATTTCACATTTGCGGCACCGAGTTCAATGTTTGGAGCCTTAAGAAGGATGTGAGAGATATGGCACTGCGTCCCCGTTCCGTACACGTAGAAGGGCATGTACGTGGTGGGATATTCGGCTTCACGGTTGCGGGAGTTCAGAGACCGGTTCTTGATCACTCGGAAGACGCAAACGTTGATATTGACCCGGACGTTCCTAATCAATGCATCAACCAGTCATCAACCGCAATTCTCGTGAAGACTCGTAATAGACTCACCCTGCTGCATCGAACAACTGTCCTTGAAACGTAGATTTTCCGTGGGTTTTGACTTCATTCAATAGACACTCAAGACAGGTCTGGTCGGTGGTGTTGAGATACAGAACTTCGCGACCTGTCTTGGCTTTCATGTATGCCTCCAGCCCAGCGTCATCAAATCTTGCTCTGAGAATGAGTTGGCGCCGGAAGCGGGCTTCCTGGAAGCGTGGCCGATAGATGAGGTATATCTCGTTTGTTCCTTGGATGAAGAAGCGGTGTATATCAGGCTTGATGGCATTGCGTTCACGGCACTCCTACAGCATTGTTAGCTTGAGTGGACAACCACAGAGTCAATAGAAGGAATGACTTACCTCGACTGCCTTTTCAACCACCTGTCGGAATCGCTTCATCATGTCACCAATCAAGTCGTGGTCCGTTGGAAACGCACTCATGACTACGTTACGCAGAACCATTAGGTTCTGGCGAGAGCGGCCAATGCCTAGGCGATCCATGAAATACTCGGCACAACTGCCATACTCCTCATGCTTGAATTCGGTTGATGTCAGGTAAAGGTCCTTGTCCGTCGGCTCGTCGTTGGGCGAACTGATTGAGAGTTCCTTTACCACACGCAACATCAAGTAGTTGGCTTCTTCGATATCATCATTGAGTCGACCGTCTTCGTAGCGCCAGTTGAGAGCAAACGCGTTGATGTTCAGGTCAGACCCAAGAGCCCGGAGCAGGGTCATTGTGTGCTTTGTGGCATCATCGTCGTAGATTTCCTGGTTAGATTTGGGCAGAATCTCTTCTCGAATGAATCTCTTTTCGTCCTCGACATTGCCTCCGTTTACCTCAGATGGTAATCGATTCAAAGGGACACAGATGAAAGAATCGTCTTTGGTAGTCATTGCAGCCCAGTGGGCAGAGAGCTAGAGAACCGGATTAATCCTCATCTAACGGGATCTTGCTACCGACACCTACCCGAGTGCTGGTAAAAGTGGCTTCACTCAGGAGCGCTCCATAACCCTCCTGATTCAATCCGATGCACTGGTTCGACAGCCATGTTGACATGGCAGCTGCTCCGGGTTTGCTAGCTCTGTGTTAGCGATAGGTCCGAATAACCCGCTCCAGCTCGCCTCTTACCTTCCTTCAACTCCGTAAATGCCAATGTTGGTAAGAGAGCCTCTTCCAATATACGGACTTGTCCACGTCACCAGATAGCGCATACGCTCGTCCCGATAGACAAGGCTGCCCGCCGGATATGGAATATATCCCGCCTTATGAGGGTCGATGGTGATGGAGTCGGCACACTTCAAGGCTAGTAGATCCTGTTGGGTCTCAACCTTAAGGCTCAAGTCAGGAACAAAGCCCTGTTCACTGGTCTCCACGCTCTTCAGTGGATCAAAGTCAGCTTCTACTGTCATCAGCCTGCGGGGCAGCATCGCGGCAAAATAGCCTCCCCATGCAGCGTCAGCGTGGACAAGGAACGACAGTCCGCGCTTTTGGAAGCGCTGTCTGATTCTCAGTATCTCATTTAGTCGGTCTACTGCTCCTTCTTCAGTGGACCCGATCACGGCAACCACAGCATATACCGCTTGCTGTTCCCGCAGACATTGCTCCAGCTTAGCCACAAGATCGACCAGATCGACTCGTGCCTCCGCGTCGACCTTGACCCCGACCATATTTTCAGAGCCAATGCCGGCGATGGTTAGAAATCTGAGTCAGTGTGGCTTACTTGCAACGCCATGACGAGCTTGAACTATGGAACAGACCACTTACCACCTCCTTTGGGCCATGAATAATGACGGGTATTCGTAAGAAAGTATCGCATGGGCTTGTCAATCTGGAAATAACGCTCCAGCTCGTCTTTGCCCGTGGACTGGATGTTATACTTGTCCAGAGCCTGTTCAATAAAAGTAGGAGACACCCCATATTGCTTGTGCAACATCTTTGGAAGGTCGAGGATCGTTTCTGGCCTGAGATTCAACAGCTCCCAGGTTGACAGGTCCATGAAATTCTTCGATGTGCCAGAGCAGGTTTGCAGATGGAAGTCGTTCGCGGCAAACCTGAGCTGACCTTCCTTGATTGCTCGGTGGAGAGATAGGGGATAAAACTTCAGGTTTCGGGCTACCGCGCTCCTCAGCTTCACGTCAAACGATTCGAAACAACTAAGTAGTAACTCACCCACCCAGATAGACTCCAGATTTGCCACTGTTCCGTCACAGGTAATATGTCCCCATCCGGTAGGCACATCCTCAATGTATTTATTGTTGTTGTAACCCAGCAATTCGCAGAGCTGCTCGCCCACAAGAATCTCGGCGGCAGTAGAGAAAGGACTCGCTTTAATTGCCAGGTTGTTGGGGTTGTAGAGCATGGTCATGAAGTATCCAAGGAGTGAGACCATAGTTAAATTGGTACTCATGTGAGCCTTGTACTGAGGGGACCAGAATGGCACAGTGTTTTCCCAGCAGCTCAGCCGCTTTGCGCACTGCATTGCCAAAGTTCTTGGTAAGGCGTTGAAACTCCTCGGAGTTCTTGATCTCAGGCGTGATGAACTTTCTATCCTGTTGAAAGAAGGTTAGAAGATACTGTTCTTGTTTGCATTTTGACTGCTCACTGGTGGTTGTGGAAAGTATCTCTTGCGAGCCTGTTCAAGCTCGGTCAGGATGTTTTTGATATTGGCCTTGAATTCACTAATATTCTCTGCTTTAGGCCCAATAAAGTACGAGCAAATGGCTTGATGGGTGATCTCTCCGTGTGCTGTCATGTTTGATATTAAACAGGGTACTGTAAGGCTTTGAGATGGTGATATGAGGCAAGTTGGTCTGGGCCGATTGCTGTGGAATTCTCTCGAGCTTGACAAACCATATTTCTATCTCTCTGTGGGATTGACCCCGTTAACTGGATTAACTGGCCTATTGGTTGGGGTGCCCAATGCGGGTTTATTGACCGCTGTTACATCTGGGGTGGGGTGGGCCAACTGGAGTTATACACATATTGGGACATGCTATACCTAGTGATGCAACGACTTTCGAAAGCGCATATCCCTTTATAGATCTAGGCCTCTACGCTGGCCAACAGCCTTTTGCTGATAGGCATGAGTACGGTCCCCTATTCTCCCCATGAGCCATTTACTCTCGATAATTGGTCTGCCCATACCATGGTGTCCTCACGTGGTGATGTCAGAGAAATACCATCTATGATTGACGCGAGGTCACTCTATGCGTCATACATAAGGAAGATATGGAGCATTAGGGAATGGCATGTCTAGCCCACTTCTAGATTCGAGTTTGGTACCGGCATTGGAAGCAGTCAGCACCAAGATATAACCTACAACTATGGTACTTCCTCGTGAACGACAAACCGAATGCTGGCATAGGAGCAGCATGTAGATCGTGTGCGAATATACATTAGAGGTTTGGGAGAATAGATGTCTTCGGACGAATATGACTTTCTCTATTGTATACGACAAGGAGAGAGTCCAACGCAATTGCCTGAAGCGATTAACCGGCATGGGAAAGTCTTCAGACTCATGATGTATTGATATGGAGGCATTCAAGACCGTTCGATTGCTGCAAACGGCTACTGCTGCACACATCTAGAGAGCTCGAATACAAGTAAGCCAGGTGTGTGCCATGGTTGAATTCAGCTTCTACGGTAGTCACAATGGCCGTCGCATATGCATATGCGCCGAGCCGCAGAGGAAGAATGTCATGTTGTAGGTCACAGAGACATCCACCAGGAGAAGGGACCCTGTTTGAGGTAATATACAAAATATAATCATACCCCAGCAATCATCTGGTGACAAGTGCAGAGTTAGCATAGGGAGGGGAGGGGGGTTATAGTTCATGCCCTTGGCGGGAAGTTATGGAAGCGGTCCAGCTCCAAGCAGAGTCGGTCAACATGGAGGCCATCAGCAGTCCTCGGGCAGGAAAAATCTTTATACCTACTAGGCTAACTATAGAGAGCACACGTATTTGACAAGAGGTAGCAAGCTCATTTACGGAAAATTTAAATAAGAACCATAATGTCATCAGCATCTGCTCCATCGCTTCTAATCCCCAACAAAAGCCGGCCGGAGAACCCTGCTGCCTGCCGTGCATAGTCCCCCTCTTGCTATGCCAGTGTCAGTAAAATCAATCCAACAGTCGACAGGAGATACAAATAGAGGATGTGCTTACCATCATGGAGCCGTGATCCGCCCTCTGTACCTTATCCACCACAACCTCAACCGCAGGGAACAAAGAACCTCAAATCCCTGATGAGAAATCTTTCTGTGCCTCAGTGAGGAACTTCATATTCTCCGTATCGCCAGGGTGCGGGACAGGTCGAGCACAGCCTTTGGTATCAAAGACACTCTGACTCGCTCACATGATTCCTGTCCTGCCGGGCCCCTGACCTGCCGCAAAGGGCGTTGCGCAGTGCCTACTGAGACAACTATACGACAATTCAAATCCAGACTATATGATGACTTGAATCATTTTATATCCCTACTATACGAAATGAATCCTACTATATGGCGATTCGAATCCTGACGATATGATTGATGATTTCAGTCATTCAATACGCCTAAGGGAAGAGAAATTGAAATCTAGAAATAATTAGGTGCTTACTGCCAGCAGAAAACCATGAATTACTGACATACTGAAATACCTACAGATATATTGACAGTCTTGTCCCAATGGCATGCCGTAATTGTCATCCAATTGATCCAAGGTGGTTCTTTAGCAGATGATGTGTGTATTTCCTGCAGACGCAGACACGTCTATCAAGCACACCGCCAGTTTGTCGGCAGCACAGCCAAATAAATAGTCCCACCTTACTCTGTCTCTGCTTTCCGAGGGATGAACCAAAACATCTAAGTTTATCATGCTATAGACTTCCGCGTCCCTGCAGGAACTGGATTTTCAAATGTCATCATCTAAGGCAGCTACTTCCAATATCCCAGGATCTGCGAGTGACCAACTACCCCTCACCTCCGTGCCACCATTAACAAATACTGGCATCCACCACTCTGTTCTTCATTGTCAAACCACATCCAGAGCAGAGGAGCAACCACAGGATTCTACATCTATTAGTCAGGCTATAGCCAACCGATCTTGTGGCATTTCTCGGAATAAAATACGGCTGAGTGGTGCCCTATTCTCACTCCTGGTTCGTCATGCATGGCAAAAAAGATCAATTCATATACTGAGATCTGATATCAAGCTTTGTCTCTTCCTAGCGGCACTCGACTTTACTATTGCTACCACTGCAATCCCAACAATTGTGTCTTCCTTCCACTCTGGACGGAGCTATGTGTGGATCGGCTCTGCGTACCAACTGGCCAGCGCTGCGTCGACGCCCATCTGGGGGAGACTGTCAGATATCTGGGGACGGAAAACCATTTTACTGCTCGCCATTTTTATCTTTGCAATTGGATCAATTATCTGTGCGGCCGCCACCATGATGGGGATGATGCTAACAGGCCGATCGATTCAAGGTGCTGCAGCTGGCGGAATAGTGATTTTGGTGAATATCTGCATTAGTGACTTGTTTACTGAAAGGTTTGGTTGGCTACCACAAGATTCATGAGACTGGATCAACCTGTGCTGATTAGGCCTTATCGAATGGTAGAGAAAGAGGATTCTACCTTGGGCTGACTGGCGTCGTATGGGGACTTGCCAGCGGCATTGGCCCTCTGGCTGGAGGCGCCTTTTCCGAGTACGTTTCCTGGCGTTGGAACTGGTGGATCAACCTCCCCTGTTGCGGAGTCTCGTTTGTTGTTCTGTTCTTCTGTCTCGACCGTGTGCGTGAGAGACGAGCGGGCATCAGCAGCGGCTTGCGACAAATCGACTGGCTTGGGACTCTGGCCATCGCGGGTCTAACTACCATGTCGCTTGTGGGTCTGAATATCGGCGGTGTCTATAGCTCATGGAAGTCCGCCAAAGTGATCTGTCTTCTCGTGTTCGGAGGCTTCACAGCGGCGGCTTTCATTGTCTATGAAGCGAAGGTTATATCCGAGGAGAAAGCTTTGATCCCAAGGCGCATTTTACGACGTCTTTCCAATAATGCGTCCCTGTTTGTCTGCTTCATGCACGGATTTGTAAGGACAGACCAAGAATAGCTCTCACTCACAGACACTGAACTCTCTACTGTGACTCGACATACTGACACTTACCGATCTTGATGGATCTAGGTCAACATTTCGTCGTGGTACTTTCTTCCACTATACTTTCAATCCAGCCGCTCCTTGACACCTCTTCAATCCGGCCTTCTCCTCATGCCAATGACCGTCATCCAGGCTGCGACGGGATTCATCGCTGGCTTCATCATCCGCCGCACCGGTCGGTATCTCCCATTGATCTATCTCGGTATGACCCTTACCACATTAGCCTTCTCGCTGTTTACCCTTTTGTCCGACAAGTCGACGATCCCCGCTATTATAGGCCTAGAGCTACTCGGAGGGCTCGGCGTTGGGCTTGTCTTCCAACCTCCCCTCCTCGCTCTCCAATCTTTCGTTCACCACGACGACATCGCCACAGCTACGGCTTTTTTTGGATTCATCCGGAGTTTTGCCACCTCTGTGTCAATTGTGATTGGCGGGGTCATGTTTCAGAACCAGATGCAGTCACGTCAGGAGATGCTCCAAAGGCTCCTTCCTGAAAATGTCGCCGGAGATTTTTCAGGTCAGCGTGCTGCCGCAAACGTGGCGCTGATCCAGTCGTTAAGTCGTGGAGAGGCACAAATAGTCAAGGAAGCGTATTCACAGAGTCTGAGCCGCATGTGGATCTTGTACGCTTGCTTTGCAGCCGCTGGACTACTCATGAGCTTCGGCATTCAGAATCAGACGTTGCGAAACGAATTGGCAAATGAAACATCCAGCTCTACTGCTACTCAGTCTCGAGCCGGGGATAAGAAAACAGACGTTTAAAACAACAACTACTACACTTTCGCTCGGCTGCTGGCTCACTGAAATCGCATACAGAGGTGTAGAAGGACTTGCACGACTCCTTCCTCCTTACTTAGTGCCACTGCACTAAAAGCTTCGAAGGGAAACTGTCACATTGTTAATGCTTACATATAGTATTAAACATCGGAGTTGTGTTGTTTTATGTTTCTAATGTTGCTCCAAATAGTCATGGCTAGGCAAAAAGATATATCCACACTAGAACCCTAATTAAGCCAGTTTCAGCTTATCTAATATATAAATAGATTATTAAAATAACCAATTATCACAGCATTGAATAAGACACAGAGATCACTAGAGTGTGGCTATGTACTACTACTAGAAACATTGGTGATTGGTAGTATAAGGATACTGTGGTCACTTGACCAGGACATTGGATCTGCGTTCTCCGCAATCCTGAGGATCTCTCCATAATCCACATGGTTGGGTCAGATAGTGTGGATCGGCCCAATTCTCAGCCCAAACCAGAAACTCAGGAACGCTAGATACAACAACTCCATCAAAAGCAATTAATTCAAACGAAGACAAGTGGTTGAGATCCTTTTAGGTAGGTAGAATGAGTGTTGACACAGGGAAAATTCCCGTATGCTGCTAGTTATAGCCTTGAGACATAGACAAAAATTGAATTATAGTAATATGCCTATGAATGACTTTTGTCATAGCTGAAGCCTCGCCATCTGTTCCCACGTAGCAGAATTCACTTCGTATCAGTCCAAGTCATCGAGAAAAGAGAAATCCGACATAACATCTACCGTGCAAGAATGACACCTAATGCTGATAAAGATGCTCCTTAGCCAATGGTATGAAGCGCAAATACGGCTTCACAGTTTGCATATTTGGATACTTGACCTGTGCCTCCTCGTCAGCGAGACCCGCGGGGACGACTACATCATCACCAGGCTCCCAGTTGGCGGGGGTGTTGACGGAGTACTTGTCGGTGGCAAGTAGGGAATCCACGACACGAAGCAGCTCAGTTGTGCTGCGACCGGTGGAGGCCGGATAGGCCTGGATGAGGCGGATCACCTTGTTAGGATCGATGATGAAGACGGACCGGATCGTGTAGGCGATGCCGCGGGCGTCGACGTTGGTGACGTCTTGGTGATCGAGCCTGTTCCACGTCACACTCTGTTAGTCTCGGGCCCAACAGTGGCGGCAGGCGAGTGAAGAGAGCACTTACATATCATAAGTATGGGCGATCTTGCGATCCTCATCCCCAATGACAGGGAACGTCAACGAACAGCCGGCGATCTCGGTGATGTCGTTGATCCATCCATCGTGCGACTCGATCGAATTGGCGGACAGGCCGATCAGCTTGACGCCGCGCTTTGCGAACTCGGACTGGTGCTTGGCCAGGTCTGCCAGTTCGGTGGTGCAGACGGGGGTGTAGTCTTCCGGGTGGGAGAAGAGGATGACCCAGTCGTTGCCGATCCACTCATAGAAGTCGATACGACCGATGGTGGTGTCGGCTTGGAAGTTGGGGGCTTTGGATCCCAGGCGGAGTCTGTAGACCGATGCATAGTCAGGTAGAATTGTCAAAGGGACTGGCAGCACATTGACTAATCATTGTGGATCGTCATCATACCATAGATGAATGAAGATCAAACATTAACAAGTAGGGCACACACGGAAAAAGAAGAGAAAACTAGGAGGGAAAAGGGGAGGTATGGAAAACATATAATGTCGCAGGAACAAGCACGGATCATCAGACAAAAACATGGAAGAGTGGGGAACTTACGGCTTGTATGCCACTTCCTCAGGCATTGTGAGCGGGAATTGATTCCTTACAAAGCCCGCGGAGGTTTACTGCGATTAAACAAGTATAAAAGGGAACCAGGATGAATGACTGGTTATTCAATTATAGCTAGGAACCAGGTTAAGTTGATATTTGAAAAGACCAAGTTTGCAGACACGACATAAGAAGTTCGGCAGTTAGTCAGACCGAGGGAGACTGAAGGAGGAAGATTGTGAGGGAATAGATAGAGGAGAGGAAGGGGAGAAGGGTCTGGACCTTGCTAGAGCTAGCCAACGATATAATCCGTATCAAAATGTTTGTTCCTGGTATGTTGCTGTAGAATATATTGCAGCCAATAGAAACCATGGAAACCCCCTAACCCTACCCCAGGAACGGGTTAGCGCCAGAAAACTTTAGGTTGACGTCATAGATCGATCTGTCAGATTTACTTTGCGGGGTCCATTGAACTTCAGACAATCAGATATAGTCTGTATAATATCTTTAATATTAGTTCATGTGCATCTAATAGAGAATTTTCCTTAGTAAGTGGATGAAAGTGCCATTGAAAAGTAACAGTTCATAAAGCAAAAGTGATGACTGCATAACTTTGACACTGACAGTTGATACATGGAAGGGAGCAGGCAAAACCGGTTTTTGCGAGATTGCTTTTATAGTAGTAACTTCCCGAGCTCCACAGCCTCCACTAGGCTTAGCGCCCTTTCCACCTGGATATCCAGACTTTCGGGCCATCCATCTGCCATACTGCATCTGCCACAATCCACAGTGACTAACTGCTGGCTGCCATCTTCCATGTTTTTGCTGCCTCTGCAATTCTTTTTTTATTTGTCTCCTACATCGCACAATCAATATACATCACCACTCTTGCGATTGCTGGACTGCTCATCCCATCAACTTACATTCCTCCGTTACTTTAATTATCCGTGTTTACATTGGAGGATATGCTTCTGATCTTCCAGTCAACGTGACCAGAACGCAAATGATGATGAGATCGGCGATTGATCCACCCACTTAATAATCCTTTATCCCTTTAATCCTCCGTCAACCCCCAAGCCACCGGCTCCCCACGCCATCGCAGTGATGCACCGAGAGGCTCAACAGCCTCCTACCGGTCTGCTGGACAGGCTACAATGGCTAACAGGCTATACCTGGGATGAGTCCAGGCAATTTCGCTCCAGCTATGGCGTATGGTGCGTTGGCTGCCTAGATTGTTGTAAGCGGAAACAGATCACGTGCTAATCCTGCGTAGGCATACTTTCGGCACAAAACACCTCGTCGATACCCCTAGGTCGCGTCAAGTCCTACCCATCCGTCCTCGCAGCGCGTCGTCTCTTGAACAACGCAACGATGGCGCAAACGCTGTCGCACCGCCGCACGCCGCCGCCGACGAAGGTGGTATAGCGGCGGACAAAGGTCAGGTGAGTGCTGTGGAAGTGGTGGCGCGTATTTCTGAGAGCGCGGGTCAGGAAGAAAAAGCTCAGGAGGAGTACCGGAGGCTGGCAGCCGTAGCCGATCCCCAATACAACTGTCTGCTCAGGCCCCTGGAGGTGAAGCGATTACCTAGTCGCGATCCAGAGCGCGAGCCACCGCTGGTGGTCTGCATCTACGAGAGCCCCGGTCCGAATGCCTTGTTGAAATACGTCGACTGCGACCTGACCTGGTATCGCGAGGCTCTCAAGGTGGATGGTAGTGACGAAGACCATGATAACAGCCAGGATGAGGATGATCATGATGCGAGCTCGCTGCGACGCAGTCGGGACGAGCCTATGCCGCTTTCCACCTTTCTCGATTTCGCCATCGGCGCCGCGGAATGCATCAAAATTCTCCATAGCCAGCAGATTGTTCATGGGGAGATCAGGGCGGATGCTTTCCACTTCAGTGAAGAGACCGGGGAGGTGAAGCTGATTCACCTGGGAGCTGGTCTGCGGCGTTACCACTCCGACCTCAGAAATGCAACCTGGTCCGCTCTGGCCAACCAGGACGGCGCTACGGCCAGGATATCATACATGAGCCCGGAGCAGACCGGCCGGACGCCGATTCAACCCGACAGTCGAGCGGATATCTATTCCCTGGGCATCCTCTTGTGGAGCGCTCTGGTCCAGGAGGCCCCGTTTTGCGGGAGGACCCCCATGGAAATCATCAGAGCGGTGCTGGGTGAGGAACTTCCTCTCGTATCGAGCTTGCGACCGGATGTTCCGGACCTCATCGCGCGAGTGATCGCCAAAGCAACCGCCAAGAATGTCTCGGAGCGGTACCATTCCGTGAGTGGTCTGCGGCATGACCTTGTGGAGTTGCGGAGGCTTCTGGCTGCCAAAGAGCCTAACGACGAGGACGACAATGAAGAGGCAGCAGCTACTGCTGCGGAACTTGAGAACTGGAAAATTGGCAGCAAGGATGTCTCGCCGTTCTTCACCCTGCCGCGCATCATGGTGGGCCGGACACAGGAGCGAAATGCCATCGTGGAGATTCTGGACCGTACGTATCAGATGTACCAGGCAGGAAAAGGGCTACAGCTGTCGTCGTTGCCCGAGGGTCAGTTCGCCACGTTCGATGCTTTGGCCTTCCCAGGCGACACCCCTGGCGAAGAGGATGGCCACAACGCGATGGACGGGTTTTCGAGCTTGCTGGCCTCCACAAACGGCGTCCGCCGGCCATATCCAGCCAATACGACTCGTATGCGGTCCCCTGCTGATTCCCGGTATGGTTCGTTCGAGAGCATCGAATCCGCAGCAGGGTCGTCAGACACAAAGAGGGAAGATAAGCGACTGTCGACCCCATCGATTGACAGCGCCAGTGTGGAGGGAAGCTCGCGATCCAGCGACAGTGCTGGGAGGACAGCCGCGCACCGGATGATGGTGCCGAAAGGACGATGCGAGCTGATCACCATCGAGGGAGGCGCTGGCTTGGGCAAGACCCGGCTGATCACATCGGTGCAGATTGAAGCCAGACAGCGAGGCTTCTTTGCCAGTTCCCGGTTTGATTCTGCCGCCAAAGAACGGTTACGTCCGGTTCTGCAACTGTTTTCCAGCCTGTTCGAGCAGGCGTTCTCGGAGAATACGATCGAGCCGAGCTTCCTGCCCATGCTGAGGAATCATATAGGGTCCGCGTGGAACACTCTCCACAAGGTTTTGGGTCTTCCGAAATTCCTCTTAGGATCCGGTCCCGATTTGCCGGACCAGGAGTCAAAGCGTGCTACTGCCACAAGTCCAACCTC